CTATGAGTTAAGTAGACCAGAAGATCACCAGCTGATCGACCCCGACGAAAACCGTACTGGCGGTCACTAATCAGCTGGTGATCCTCAAGGTACCGTATGAGGTGGCAGTTTATAACGGATTCCATTATTTTGGAGAACAAGGGGGTGATGGCGATAGGCCTATAGTTGGACGGGTCTGAGTGGTCGCCTTTTTAGGGATCAGTTGGACAAAAGCTGTCTTCCATGATTTCGGGACTACGCCTAGGGAGTAGGAGTACCGGAAAAGACGCGTTAGAACCGGTGCCAACTCCGGAACACACGTCCTCAGCACAATTGGGGGGATTCCGTCAGGCCCACTCGACTTGTGGATGTCAAGGGAGAGGAGTGCTCTGCGAACCGAGCGCTATGAGAACCGCACATCCGGCATGGAGCACTCACACCGCGGGATGGTCGGCGGTGTGTTCCCTCCGTCATCAACAGTCGAGTTGGACGCAAAAAGGGAGCCTAAAAAGTCGGCTTTCTCTTTTACGTCGTGGGCCAGTGAGTCGTCCTCCCTGTGCAGAGATGGTAATGATGGCTTACAGAAATTCCCTTGGACAGCCTTGGCGAGAAACTAGAATGCACGGGTTCCCGAAGGAAGGCGAACGAGTTTCTCGCCAATTCTGCCTATGTGCTCTGACTTTGCCTTGGCAATAACTCTTTTGAAGGACCTGGAGGCGAAGTTATACTTCTTTTTAGGTGTGCTGGTGTTTACATCCCGAGTTGCCGAAGCCGCAGCCCAGGCTTGATAACACTCCTGCTTACTGCGTAATGCAGTCTAACAAGAGCGACCAAACCAAGGCTGAGATCTGCCTCCGATGGGTACCACAGATGATGGAATAAATAGTTCCATTCCCTGTAGCACCACATCAGTGACAAAGTCAGCAACAGCGCTGGGATCATCCGGCGAGAAGAAAACCCGCTCCCATGGGTAGGAAGCAAAGAAAGACCGCATTCCGTCCCAATCCGCCGACCTGTAATGCCAAACACGGCGGCAACCTGCAGAACGCAACCGCGAGGGGAGCGTGAGTGGCACCACACTCCGGATCAGACAATGGTCCGAAGAACCGAGAGGGGCATCGACGGAAACCTAATATCCGTCCGGATGAGAGGTCAGCAGAAGGTCCAACAGGGAAGGTGTATGATCCTCAACATCTGGAATCCGCGTAGGCGATGTAACCAGTTGTGTCAGACCATATGCCAAGGCAAAGTCATAAACAGATCTCCCCGCATGATCAGTTAAACGTGAACCGAGCCATTCGGCGTGGTGGGCGTTAAAATCGCCAAGGATCACGATCTCTTCGGATGGACCTGTTGTAGCAAGGAATCTCTAGCCATTTGGACGTGGTCGATGAGTCGGTCTGTTTCGGCATTACCGCTATGGGACCTATAGAGGCACACGTAGACGCGCGGATGGTCGTCGCTGTCTACGCGTAGCCAAAGGATGGACAGGTCCGAACCTTCAAGACTGCCGAGGCGTCGAGAACAGATGTCCTCTCTGACATACACGCAAACTCCAGCCCGAGGCACAAAGGAGTGCTCCAATTTGTAACCCGGGTAGGAGAGATACGAAATATCAGCCGGAGAAGACACCTGCGTCTCGGTCAGAAAGAGCAAGGCCGGCTTCGCCGTCTCGAGATGGTAGTGGACGGCGTTTAGGTTCGAGTGAAGTCCCCTGATGTTGCAGAAATTCACGGATAGCGTGGCAGGGGTTGCCTTGGTCTTGTTGCTCAGTTTGCCCCGAGCAGTTATTGTGTTGAGCGGAATTTGTCCTCCCCCCCCCCCCTCCCCCCAGAATACGCGGGGCAGCCTGAGCACCCACGCTCAGAAGTGGAATAGCATGGTCGTGGATGCTCAGCGAGGTATTCTCCAGGGGTACTGGTACCTTCCTGGGGTAGTTTATGATGTAATTCCGCTACCATGTTGATGGGGGGGGGGGGATTAGGCCTCCGGTCACCTGCACTCACCAGACGAAACGCGGAAGCAGAGCTTCCACTTCACGCCAGTATTCTGTGAGGTCGTGGTACTAACCCGGCTCGAGCCGGCCCATACGTGCAACAGCAAAAGCTGCCGCGTGGCTCTACCACCGTCGAAAGTGTTTTACTTAATTCCTGTTTTCTTCTATTATATGGGAATAAAGACATGGTTTGTACTCAGACCAAATAAAAAAGTGACTTTTTATTTCGTCTGAGGGTTTGTACAAAAAAATATAACAGAAAGTTTTTCTCACCTCAGCTTATATTATAATATCTATAACATTAGTGCTAAAAGCGAAGTAATAAACTCGCTTTTACGAATCCGTCTTCCATGATGCATTTTCAATAAAATTCGGAATAAAAGTCAACAATCGTGATGATAACTTGAAAAATTTCGAAATTAGCTAGTTAGTACACAGCACATAACCTAGTTCTTTGACCTAGTGACGTCACGACGCTATCTAATATGGCGGACATCGTTTTGCAGATTTGAGGCACAGGTAAAAAAAAAATATTCTTTATATTGAAATATAAAATTTATAATGCATTTTTATAAATAGAAATCAATTTTTCTCATTTACTTTTTACAAAATCTATCATAAATATATATTCTTTGATTTTTTTTACATGGTGTAAAATACCCTATTGCTACTGTAACCTTTGGACACCCGCAGCGAGCTTCAAGCAAAAATATCAATAGATGCGTTGTCTTGTCAACCCCGAGGAATGAGATGAAAGCTTGCAATTAGTTAACTCCTTTTCCCTTCAAATCAGAATACAGATGACAGAAATAGGCTAGCGATGGATGAACGGACTCCTCGACTGAAAAGTTTAATTCTTGAGTAAACCTAGAGGGTAGAACCCTATCATATTTCTCAGATAGGTATCAAATAAATTAACCACATAAACAAAATATTTACTTTATTAAACATTTATATAAAATGATATTTACAGAGTTGGGTCATTGACGACATCTTCCATAATAGTGACCATAAACATGACCCGAACGACAAACAATTATTATCAATAAAATTTTCTACAAGTACATAATTGAAATCAAGCAGTCATCTATTTTATAACGGAAGAAGGTCACAGAATCACAGCAGTGCACTAAAAAAATCATTTGATGTTCTTATGCCCGAACGACAAACAATTATTATCAACAAAATTTTCTACAAGTACATAATTGAAATCAAGCAATCATCTATTTTATAACGGAAGAAGGTCACAGAATCACAGCAGTGCACTAAAAAAATCATTTGATGTTCTCATACCCGAACGACAAACAATTATTATCAACAAAATTTTCTACAAGTACATAATTGAAATCAAGCAATCATCTATTTTATAACGGAAGAAGGTCACAGAATCACAGCAGTGCATTAAAAAAATCATTTGATGTTCTTATTGTTTCCTCCAGAGAGCAATTTCGCCAAAAATAAAGTATTTTCATTTGATTTTAATATCGAGAAGTTAATGTTGTTACAAAATTTCAATGTTCCATATATTATGTCACAATAGGCAGGCATTGAATTTTCTGCAATGATACTTCGGTCGTCATAAACGTAATACCTCTTTTATTTCAAACCATGTTAAATAAAAACCTTATCGCACGAAATTTTGTGAGTTCAATTATTTTTCAAGAAAATAATTTCAAGGCAACTTATATCAACGAAACAATATTATTATTTAATTCTGTTACATTTTAAGTTATTTCGTAGTTTAGAAAAAAAACTGAATTGTTTGTTATAGTGTTGTTAGGTTATGCTTTTTTCAGTTGCTGATCATGTCATGGCTCACAGTTGTTCTACTATTTGTGTAGTCTTCCCATGAACATATTTCAATAGTAATATTACCTATGTAGAAATTCGGATCCTATATTACATATTATGCAAACTTTAAAAGAGGTCTCATATGTATGGTAATCATGACAAATGTTTGACAAAATTAAGTATTTGTCAGAGATTAAAGTAGTTGAGTCTACAAATGTAAATACATAAAGGAATGGATTAGGTATTAAAAGATGCTTCTCGGGAGGCTTGTTTTAGGTTTCAATTATAGCTACTGTAAAATTAGCATGCAACTGGTCACATGTATGAGGCCATGTCCACAGCTTGCAAATATTTAAAGCTAAAATTTTGTCAAAATGACCAGGATCAGATTAAACTGAATCAGATCGCAGCAATGCATGAAACAAACACCTGGAAAATTTTGGAGGTCTACAAACAAATCGAAACCAGGTAGGATCTTAACGATGAGTGTCAACGGCATCAGTGAACCTTAAAGAATAGCCAATATTTCCATGACTCATTTAAAATCAACTTTTGCCTTTTTTACTATGTACTATTTTTAGTTACTGCAAAACTGTTAAAATTTGCAAAAATTAAAGCTGTTTTATATATTTACATAACACAATAATATACAATATTTATAAGTATATAAAAACTAAAATTATCATAATACAATCCTCCTCTCTGTGTTTTGTGTCAAGAACACTGGCTGTGTTTCTCCGGTGACTATACTAAGCTTTTGGGCGAGAAAGGGACCGGCCGTCTTGTCACAAGTGGTCGATCAGTATGGTAAATAAGCTTAAGAGAGATCGTATCATAAGGAATATTAATATAAAAAAGACTATTTTTTGAAATTTCTTTAAATATATTTTTAAAAATGTTTGCAACCTTAGCGGTGCCCAATATTTGTCAGTGTTTTTAAAACTATACAGTTAAATTTGTGTTATTAAACATGTTAAATGAATTTTTTAAATTTGTTCAAGACATTTCATACACAATAGCAATCATAATATTTCCAATATACAAAATAAATTAGTAAAACTTATTTCTTAAAAATAATACTTCATTTAGACAGTTTTATAAACAGCAAAATTTGGTAACATATGCTAAATGTTTAGTATAAAATATTACTATTAATAATTTGAAAACATTTTGTCAATTCTTTAGCTATGTATTTGTATGAACAAACACACCCTGTTTTACTCGGCTATACCTCCTAATCCTTACTTACAATCTGTACAATAGTTTTTATAATCCTGTTACCTTTCTCATAATGCAACAGATCCAAACATGGATCATTAATTTTCTCTTCTAACAGATTAATCAGCTCCACTCTTATAGTTTTTAGCATTTCTGCGACCTGCAAAAAGAATAACACGTATTTCATTATTTTTAAATAAGAATGATAGCAGTGCTAAACGCTATTTTTATCCCAGTTCATCACAGCAGTTAACCCTGAAATATTTGTGTTAAGAATGGTTCACAAAAGTAGTCGAATGGCGGATTCGTACCCCGAACCTTTTGTAGTGCGTGCCCTTTAGCACTAGGCTACGGATTTTTTGAAAAATCATTAGAGACCGCAATTTGATAAATTACGTTAAGTTTTCTTAAATAATTTTCTTTACTTAATGGGACAGTAAACAAACGATTAATATAACAATAAAAAGTGGCTAATTTATGTGTCGGTATGAGTTAGCTTTCGATTAATTTGGAAAATATGCAATGACTCTTTTCTTGTTATTGTTGAGGAAATTATGGGAACCATCTTGTTCCAATTCAAGCTTAAGTTAAATTTTATCGTGTACTCTATTTAGGAAAATATCCAGTTGTCTCCTTGTGTCAGTCCAGCAAATAATTATGTCATCTACATATCTAGTACAAGATATTTGATTGACAACTATATGTTGTTTTTCGAAATTATCCATGAAAATGTCCGCCATAAGAGGACTCAGAGGGGACCCCATTAGCTAACGCTTTTTTCTGCCGACTTCCAAAAAGGAGACGGTACTCAATTCGACTGTACTCTTTTTTGTATTTTTTTATGTGTTGACCTCATAACTTTTTACTGGGTTTTCGATGATTCTTTTTTTATATGAAAGCTGTTACATCTCGTGTGGTCCCATATGAATTTGATCAAGGTCAGACCAATAGTTTTTGAGTTATTCTTAATAACATATTGAAGTCGGCTGTACACAATTTTAAATTTTAAATTATTGTAGATAGAAGCGGTTATTAAACCGGAAAGTTTTGTTTCATACAGAGAGGTTAAGTTAAGAAGATCATCTATTTCCCTGGGATGTAGACGACGTTTATTAAAGAGATCTGCGAGTATACGCAAACAGTCAGGGGATGGGACATTTGTGAAAAGACTATCAACGTCAAAAGATAACAACATGGATTTAGAAGGAATACGAATATCTTTAATTTTGGAAACGAGATCTAAGCTATTTTTAAGGCTGTATGTTGGGTTGAAACCAGATTTCTCCCGAAGGAGGAAGTATTTTTTAGCAAGGAAATAAGCTGGTGCATCTATATATGTGACAACTAGACGAATAGGAACATGTTCTTTATGTATTTTAGTAACCCATATAAAATGGGTGCTTGAGGATTCATTGGAACAAAACTGCTCCGAGACAAGTGGTAACCGGGAAAAACATATGATGACTGTGTTGTATACATACTTTAATTTCCGAAATTAACTTTTTGGTTGGGCCAGACTCCAATAACTCAAAGTCATCTCCTTGAATAACATCGTTAACCTTCTGACTGTACACGCTATTCTCCATAATGACAACAGTATTGCCTTTGTCGGCTTTAGTAACAATGAGGTTATTGTCCTACATTCTCTGCTTTAGTGATTTATAAATAGGGAACTCAGGATTGTAATGGGAAGATGCGGTTACAGCCCGAATTTCTTTTGCTACCAAACTTAACGATGTTATCTTTCTTCCCGATCACAACGGCTATCTCCGCGTCAACGGCCACAGTCTAACGAATTTTGGGAGACTGAAGGTGTTAAATTATATTTCAGGCCTTTATGTAAAACTCATCCTTTGGAAACTGGACATCGGAAAGATTTTTAACGCGGGGATAAAATTGGTGATATTCAGTATGTACGTCGTTATTACGTTTACGCGATGAAGTGGATACAAGTCGTTGTAACTTACGGGATTGAATTTGATATTTCTCATAAACAGCCATTGAAGCAAGTTCTCTGGCTATTCCATCCAAAATATCAAACTCATTTACAAATATTAAGTAATATAAATGACAGTTCAGAATATAATACTTTAAGGTGGATTTTTAAATTATCTCTATTGGAAAACTAACGACGACACTCCTCATTAAGCCAGATGTACTGAGCTTTAGAAATAGCAATATTGGCTGCTCGACTATTCGTGCCAGAACGCTTTTTTTTATAGGATCGGGTGACAATCGAGCACACAGTCCACCTGATGGTAAGTGGTTACTGTGACCCATAAACATCTACATCTATCCTCAATAAAGACTCAAGAAGCAGATGCGTTGTCACCCGTGAAGACTAAGAGGTTTTCTGTGAGAATATGGTCCTTCCCCGGTCGAGCCGACCCATTCGTGCTACAACCATAATATAGCTGCAGCATGGCTCTACCACATAGAAAGTATTTGGATATAATTGGGAATTACACGAAGTTGTTTGCACTGCTGATTGAACCAAGCATTTTTGGCAGAAATACGATGGAGTTTTGTTAATTTAACATAGAGTCTTGCTTCAAACTATTTATTTTATTGAGCGGATATTGGTAAAGTATATTTTTCCAACTTTAAAATATTTAAATATAAATAAATTGATTATTTTAATGCAATTAATTGTTCACATACCTCATGTTTTTCCACTTGGAACATTATCCAACCATCTTCTAATGATACGGTGAACGTCCCACTATGTAATTCGACAGCCAAATTGCAACCTTAAAATGTAAGACGATAAAATTTACTGCATGATATTAAAGAATTAATAAATAATAAAAAAAAAAATATTTCTGCTTCATTTTTGTGATTTGGATACACACTTGTACTTATTCCACAATATTTATTTAAATTATTAGTTTACTAGTTATCCGCCCCGGCTTCGCACGGGTGATTTCTGGATCTCGACTGCAGCACCACATACCGGTCCAATTGTGAATTGTTTAGAATTTAGATCATCCAGGGACTCACTCAAATACACATGAAAAATTTCATCCAAATGGGTCCAGCCATTTTCGAGTTTTTGCGAGACTAACGGACGTAAAGTTAATTTCTGTATATAAAAATCAATTGCCGACCGGTTTTCCTCACGGCATTATTAGGGTATATAAGAATAACGAACATAATATACAAAGGTATCTGCAATAAATTACTGAGAGAATTTTATCAAAAATTGTGAAGGTAGATTAAACATCAGGGATGTCATATTAATACCTGTACTTGTGAAACAAGTTTTTTTTTTTTATAGAAGAGAGGGCAAAAGAACATGCGGCTCACCTGATGGTAAGTGACTACCGCCGCCCATGAACAACCGCAACACCAGGGGAATTGCAGATGCATTGCCGGCCTTTTAGAAAGGTGGTAAGCTCTTTTCTTGAAGGTCCCTAAGTCGTATCGGTCCGGAAAAATCGCCGGTGGTAAACGATTCCACAGAGAAGTTGTATGAGGAAGAAACTCTCTAATAAAACGTACAGTCTTGGACTGCCAAGCATCCAGATGGAGAGGATGGTATCGTGAATTTTAACGCGATGTGCGTTCGTGAAATTTGGCGGCTGGAATTAATCCGAACAATTCCTCAGAGCACTCACCGTGGTAAATTCGATAGAAAACGCAAAGGGATGCAACATCCCTACGTAGTGCCAGTGTATCGAGCCGATCAGAAAGAACTCGGTGTGTCTGAAGTCGGAGCTGGCACTGGTGAGCCCCAGCCCAGAGATGGGAACAGTATTCCATGTGAGGCCGTACTTGCGCCTTGTAAAGTTGCAGGCGTTGTGCCAGCATGAAATACTGTCCCGTTCTCCTGAGCACGCCAAGCTTTTTAGAAGCCAATTTGTCCTCCTCTTCCAAGTGACCACGAAACTGAACGGCACGCGATATGTCGACGCCGAGAATTTCGATACTGGCTGAGGCAACAAGGAGAGTGCCTTGAAACTGAGGAGATACGACAAAGGAGTGATTTTTAGCGGTAATCGCGCAAACTTGTGTCTTCTGAGGATTAAACATCCCATGATTTAACATCCAGACTATGGACTAGATTTCGTCGCAAACTATGGCAAATATCCCGCCTGAACAAAGGCCTCCCCCAAGCAATGCCACTAAGGATACACTTGGTCCTGAGCCACCTGCATCCATCGACTTACTGCATGTCTTACCAGGTCGTCACTCCATCTAGTGGGGGGAGGGGGGTCGCCCTACGCTTCGCCTACCGGTACGAGTCTGCCATTCGAAAACCTTTTTCCCCATCGGTTGTCAGTTTTTGGAGCTATATGGCCGGCCCATTGCTACTTCAGCTTACTAATCCGTTGGGCTATGTCGGCAACTCTGGTCCTACTTCAGATGTCCTCGTTTCTAATCACGCAGAGAAACCCCGAGCATAGTTCTCTCCATAGCTCGCTAAGCAACCTTGAACGTCCTCATACGGCCAGCAGTGAAGGACCACATCTTAGATCCAATAAGTCGTCACTGGCAACACACTGGTTGTACAATCTCGTTATAGTACAAAAATATATAATTGATTAACATTAAAAGATTACCTGAAAATAACACCAACGGCAGCTGTGGTACCATAGAGCACTCTCTGATAAAAATCCTCGACGTTTTCACCTTCTCCTGGTATACTAGATAAGGGCTGGCGAAGTAGCCAACTACTGAATTGATGGAAGAAGGATGCAACGCGACATAGCCGTCAGTTTTCGTCTTGAATTTCAACTCGTCGGGATTTGGTTGCCTTGGTATTGCGCCCCCTATTTGCTTGTGGAAAGATTTCTCCGGGGTTAACACCTAAAACAGAATAAATTATTGCGGTACAGGTTTTTCGCAAAAATGTCATGACGTAGTGGCGTGAGAGAATCCATCACCTTATTTCGTCTAATATGGATGGTTGATAAGGGTGTCGCTATACACGTAGTTAGTAAGGTAGGAAAGGGGTAACCCTTAACCCTTTCCCATCTTATTTCTAATTTCTCATTCCATTATTATCTTTCCCTCTCTCTCTCTCTCTCTCTCTCGCTCCCTCTATCTCTCTCTCTCTCTCTTTTTCTCTCACCCAGGCATAAAGAAATATTATGGCAGGCGAAAATAATAAAAAATAAGATGAAATAATGTAGATACTAGTATATTAGTAACTTGCAGGTGTACAAGAGAATAAATGAACATATAAATATTATAACCACTCTACTAACTGGTAAAAAGGGAAAATCAAAAGAACGGTTTAAATAAATATTGAAATGGCGGCTAAGCGAGAGCAACGTTAATTAAAAATCAATCAATTGACAAGCGTATGGATACGCCACTAACTGAGCGGCCTGATTTTTACTAAAGCCGGTTAATAGACGGTTTGTGTTAACATAATATACTTAAGAACTTAAAGATTGCGCAATAAATTAACTTGGTTGTATATTTTACATTATTTTTTTTCTCTCAGATATGCAGGTTGCCTTATTAGGTTTTATCTTCACCGTCGAACATGTGGTAAATAAACTAGACATGGGACGAGTACTCGGTATGGATTCGGTACTCGGCGGCCTTTTTTTAGGGTTCGGCCGAGCACCGAGTATTAACGGCCGAGTGCCGAGTCCTCGGCCTTAATTATATTCCAGAGAAAAATAAAGACAAAAAGCCAGTTTTTATCATTATTATTATATTAGACACATTAAAACATCAGGAACATGAGAAGCAGCAGAAATATTTAGAACGTGCATATGAATCTATAATAGAAATTATTATTACTAATATTTAAAATTTAAGAGAGGAAGATCAATAATTTTTCTAAATGTTTTCCGATAAAACGATTTCTATAAGCAGTCATTTTCGCGCCAGATAATGAAAACTATCTCTCGAACATGAAATCATGTTGTCTCATTTGACAAGTAATCAGTAATCACTCATCAACATTATCAGTGGGTGTGTGACTGATCGAGTACCGATACAAGTACTTTTCTATCGATACTACTTGGTATAGAAAGAAAAGTGTCGAGTAACTACTTGTATTTACTCGTATCGTTCCATCTCTAACTCTGTGTAAGGGTAATAACCACACGCCGTCCGCTACTGCATTTTTTTAAAAGCCCAGTATTCGGCCGAGTACTCGGCCCAATCTAGGCCGAGTACTCGGCGAATCACTACTCGTTCCATGTCTAAAATAAACACTTTACAATTTTATGGGTGCTGGCGGGGTCGATCCCAGGTTGCACGCGTACTGTGAAATTTACCGCGAGCACCTACCCCCTGAGGTATTACGGCTGATCAAAAAAAATCGAAGACACGTGGAGTCCACCAACAGGCATTGGGACAGCGGGCCAGACTTCTTCACACTTAACAGGCTTCCTCTCAGTAATAGGAGGAAGCCTGCGTCCAACAGTGTGAACTTTACATACTATTAAATTACAGTAACATAGCACCCAAGTGGAAGGTTAGACCCGACCGTAAACATTACATACATATCGAGCGAGAAACTACAATTAAGTATTGCGCCGTCTCTATCGGACAACGTACTAACAGTGCGATATCTATATTAAGAGCTGTTATACGATCACGTTGTTGATCACTTTATAATATTTCACTCGCGACATTAGTCTCTCACAAAGTAGGAAGGATTTGTCATAATCACTACACATGGCAGTTGGGTTTACAATTGTGTCGGTTTAAATATTTTACATCTAGTATATACGAGATTATTTAATGCCATCTATTAGAAGTCATAAGACTTTTATATCATTTTCTATAGTCGCCTCTTACAATACTAATGAGACAATATTTGGTGAAAGATTTACGCCGCCAACATACGCCAAATATTATTGAATAATAAATAATAAAAACATACCTTTACAACGTTTGGATATAAGGCTGCACATAAAATGGCCGCTAGTAGTTTATCATTATTACCATTTGAGTTCAACTGAAAAAGAAATATTATACAATCAAATAACTTCAACTTCGTGCGTACTGAAAACTTAAACAGTCTTTTTTACAAAACATGGTCTATTTTTAGTCTCGGGTTTTAACTATGGTATAAAGATAGTCATCCTAACTATGGAGTGAAAAGTGTCCCTAAAAACGTGTCCAATAAGGGTGGCGCTGCAGTAGCATAGGATAAATTAAAAAAAGCACCAAAATTAATTAGAATAAGATGGAGAAATAAACGAGTTGAATGTATATTCAAGAAAAACAACTTCCTTCTGCGTGAATCCCATATCTCTGGTGCCCTTTGACCTACAGGACCCAAATTCAAACTCGACCCAGCTACTACCTCAAGGTATCCACATACCAAATTTAAAGTCAATCGGTCCAGTGGAACGGAAGTTATCGTGTCGGCATACAGACTAACAGACTACCAGCTAAAACCATTAACTTCCTTTCAATGCTACGCAGAAGGAAGTTAACAAGGACCGACCAATCCGCTTGGTTTTGTACTACGTAAATAGTTGAGGTTTTGTATACTGACATTTTACTAACTACTCTAGTCATGAAATTTTTTAAATATTTTAATTCAGCTGACTTCACTTCGTTCACAGCAGCTATCTTCATATCGTAGTTTTTCAGACGCCTGCGCTATTGTGGTAGGTTTTGGAACCTCTATTTTCAGTAAATAGTAGGACACTTTTTCAACTTTCGCCCCTTATAAGATGGTTCTCCTTGTACTCTACACTCCACAATCCTAACTTAAAGAAACCATAGACGCGGCGCCACTGTCTTCGCAAAATTTGACGTTTGCTGTCAAATCCCATACATCAAATTTTAGTTCACATATCGCGGTCTTCTTGACATTGTAGTTTAAACCTCAGACTAATTATGAATTACTTTTTGTAATAAGACCGTAAAAGTAATTTGGATCCGCCATTCAACTACTGTCGTGGACTACTCCTTACACATACAAGCATTTTAACGTGGACGTTACGTGGAGTAGTTAACATGAATATTAGTAATGTCAATAGTGTTATTAGTATTCTTTATTAAAAAAAAATTAAGGTACAAGACATTATAAAGCGAAGTCTTAAAACTATCTCTATTTCAAATTTATAAAAAAAAACATTGCTACTTCTAGGAATTTGTCTGTACCGTTACAAAAAAAAATTAAATTTGGACCCATATACCCGGAACAATTATTAAGAATCCGCGACATACAGTAGATGTATGGGTTATGTCAAAAATATGAAAGGTATAAGATACACACCCCACAGACTGTAATGTAGCTTATGGGAATTTTGACAACACGATATTTTTTTTAAAGAACACATAAAGTAAAGGGAAATATATCCTTTTCAAATACCCTGTAAAACACTTCAATTATATTTATATAGTCTTCAATAGCAAACAGTTCCATTACCTCTTCCCCGGTTAAACTGGCTACGGAGTCCTTCCTCATCTTCCGCCTCAGAGCTGGCATGTCTGGCACAAAGCCGATAGACGCTAGCAAACCAAGCAATTGATGCTTGATATCAGCCAACATCATCAATGTTTTATGAGATAAGAAGTTTTCACTGGCGAATACTAAAGCGGCGTGCGTACTTGATTTCATCGCGAGCTGCCATTTCTGGATAAACATTTTTTTAATGATAAGATAGATAATCAAAAATATTTAAAAATGGAGTCAGCTTGTAAATTGCCACAAATCAACTATAAACTGAACAACTCAAACAAATATAAGGGCAGTTTCGTCATGTCTACATGAAAAGTCACAATATGAATACTGTTATTTATAATCAGGTTTTATCAAGTCTATGGGCCGCAGTTCCCACTATCAGGTGGACTGTGTGCTCGTTTGTCATCCTTATTCTATAAAATAGCTACAAAGTTTTTATTTTTGGGTCGTAATTAACTTTTAAGTTGCCCAATAAACAACGCCAAGAGGCGTTATAATATTTTTACCAAAAGAGGAAATCAAAAAATATTATCAATGAGGGATAATAACCTTCCGCTCACCAGATGTCGCTAATTGGGACTGAGGTAAAGTTTTTTCTCACACAATGCCATTTAATTGAAAAATTAGTTTTAAGAAAATGTTTATCAGTTTCTAGATTATTATATTAATATACATAAAACAATGGCAGTGGTTTGATCTTTAATTATTTGCACATTTTAACCCTTTTCTTAATTTTTTATAATTTTACAAATATTTGTAGTTCATTTTATTCGTTTCTAATCTAATTAATAAAAAATATAACTAATATTTCAGAAAGAAACATTAGTTTTTACACTTTTTGAACAAACTAACTTCCCCCGCTATTAAATCTGTCGAATATTTCACCTCATCCAAAGTGGCGTCGCTCTGGTGACAGAAAAAAACGTGGAAATATGAAATCACCCACATTAAAAATATGAAAGTAGCATAATCAACGCAGCTCTCTTAGATAAGCATCCATATATAATAATCGGATAGAAATAGAAGGGTTTTGACTTCGAGCCTCTTCTTTATGATTCCACAATCTACTGGACATGCTGCTCACTATACTAGACAGGCGGATTTTGGTTAGTGTTGTACCAGATGTCTTGTATTACAAAGTTATCTATTGAAGGCCACGAGGTTTTTTTTGTCTTACCACGTCACAGCCTTTTTTTTTTTCAAAAATCAGCTTAATCGATTTTTATAGGAAACAATGTATTGACTATAAGACTTACTTACCCTATAGGCCCGTAATGTTGTCAACTGATCGCTGTTTGAGCAAGCAAACTCTCTTCTTTTAGCATCAGCTTCTGACTGAAACGATGAGAAAGTATTTTTATATAGATTTTTTTTTAATTCCTCTACCCAATTAATTATGTAGGCATTTAATGCAAGTTATTTATAGCTATAAATACCTAATTAAATTGAAAAAAATAATTATAATATATAGGATAAACAGTACTAATGTTGGCACTCCTACAATGATTGACACTTTGCTATTTTAATCTGAATATTAAGAATGTTTTCCTTTTTCTATATCACAGCTACACAGATATTGCTAATTACTTATACTAACAATACACATTTATAATTAAAGCGTCAACTATTTTCCTATACGGGCTGTTTTAAAAATTTGTGCAGACAAATCCGTTAAAATTTAACATAAAGTTAAGGTTTTGTGGCTATATTTTCAGACAAAAATGTGATTTTTAGGTAAGTTTATATGCAAGTTTCTATTTTAATCAATTAACGTCATTAAAGCATATTAAACGTTATTTTATCGTTGTGAAATAGAAGCATCGGTTTTTTTAATGGTGCCAATGACTATACTTTCTTTCTTTTGTCCAAAATCTATTCTTGACACTGCCAATGACTATATCCTTTGAGTAGTGCCAATGATTTGACTGAACTTTTCATATTTTGAATTGATGAAGAATACTGCTATTAAGAGAGGGCGCTTTAGAAAAATAACTGCCGCACTATCATTTAACATTCCACGCGCGAATTTACAGTTCTTACTAAATAAGTAAAGTCAAAAAAACTAACAATTTCGATGTCATAAAAATGTCAATGATGTGAGGTTTTTGAATAAATACCCCATACATACTAAACCGTTTTATAGAGGGAGGATAAAACGTCTATGAGGTGGATCAAGCCTAATCGAAGTCTTGCATCACTATTCTTTGGAGTAGACGGTAAAACCTATTATTTTCCCCCTATAGAAAATGTGATCAGACGTTCAAAAGTTAGTGCCTAGAGAGAGGGTTATTTACTATCTTAAATACGGCGCAACTTTGCCCAAGTCTCGCCATAATACTTATAGCCCTTAACCTGAATGCAACACGACTATTGCAACCAGCTGATATCACTGCATTTCAGCCCACCAAAGATATGTGGCGTAAACCTGTCTTCGAATGACGGACAAACAATTTGACAAAAAGGTTACTAAAACAGATGCGGGCCTATATTAGCAAGACTTTTGCCGTATTGAAATAAATCTACATCATGAAATGGTTTTGAGACATGTAGGTTGTGCCCATTTAGTCCAGACAAAGTGGATTAAACAAAGTGTCCGATGCCCTCGAAATCACAGCAAGCCATTTTAGATGATCACCGTTCCTTGCCATTACGCCGAATTACCTAATATTTTAAGTATAACGAGTAATAACGACGGAATCAGAAATACCTGTATCAAATTTGCCTTGTATCCTTTCACTTAATAATGGTTTATCAGTACCAGAGGCTATACAACCTGCAGAGATTATTGTTGAGTATCAGAAAGAAAACTAACCCTTATGTTTTTCATCAACTAGGCAGCAAATTTCGTATTTGTTGGAGGTGAATGGGTGATTGTGGATGTGGAAATGGAAATGCAGAATTAAATTAGTCAGCCAAATATAGAAACAAACTGACAAACAAAACAAGAACAACGAAGCCATAAACTCTGACATTATAATACTCTCTAAATGTTTAATCTAAAGAACCGAAATAAAGTTCTATTTCTACAAAATATCGAGAAAATACGAAAGGTTTTACTAAAAAAAGTCACATCAAAAATGTACACGAAGAAAGAAAAAAACATGGTAGACAAACGAAACCGTTTTCAGATGAAGATCTAAGAAAATTTTTTGAAGAAGATTTGTTCAAAATAAGTGTTATACCAATAAGATGGAGCTTAGAAAGATCTGGCTATAACTTTTTAAGACTTTCAATGGTGCCAATGATTATACTTAATTTACAGTGCCATTCACTATGCTAAAGTGCCAATAATTGTAACATTCCCTAGGAAAAAGTTTAATTAGATTTTTAACTTAATTAAACATTTCTTTTTAAACGTAATGCGTTATTTTATTTATGGCTATCTAAAATACAACAAAACAATAAAAAATATAACAATTTTGATTATTTACGAGAATTAACCACTTACAAGTAGAAAAACGCTTAAAGTGCCAATCATTATACTGCTTATCCTACATTCTTTCTGAATATCATGTAGATATAACTATGAAGTATTTTATTATAAAGTTGATTGTTATAGATTATGTTCCTTAATCCATAAACTACTATAGGACTTCGCAGACTATGTGTGGAACGGACATTAATGATGTTGAAAACCGTATCAAAATGCATAAAGCAGTTTAAGCGATGAAAGACGCAGACAAATGACGTACATAGATACACAGAGTATGACGCAATATAATGTATCTATGTCACTCCTGTAATCCCTAGAGGATAGGCAGAGTCCAAAGAACAGTGAGCTACTCAGACCACCTGTAACCAAAAAGTATAGATGGAAAGCTGTGACAGAACTGATAGGTGGCTATATCATTGACTACAGCCAATACAATCAAAAACCCAATATCCTACACACAGTTGGCAGTCTTTTTTGTTATAAGCCCCACATGGGATCTTTGAGACCCAGACTAATACTCGACAATTGCACAGATAAATGACTTTGTTTTAAATTATTTAATGATGTTGTTACCTTCTTCCCAAAAGGTGCAACAAAAGGACTTTTATGGCTCAAGCAAGCCGCGATCGTTAGAGCCGAGTCCACACAACAGAATATAGCACCAAACAGCATAAGTTTCCCTATCCGTACATCCACTGGCAAAGCAGCTAAATGTTTTCCCAGTGCAGTCAGAGAGAAAAACTTGTCCAGCGCGCCGACATCTTGTAACCGAGCAAGAGCGCCATCTATGTTCGACTTTATTGGTGGCTCTATTGTTTTATCTGGAACAATGGATAAATTAATCGAAACAATTGTTATTATTTTCTTTTGACAGAACTGCGTATTTTGAAAGTACTATATGATGTCAGTACCACAGGTCTCGTACCTCTGACACTGTTTCCCGTTACCGTAGTGTAAATTTTTAATCTGAGAGGCTTATATCATATGAGACGATTATACTGCCATCTGTCGGAGGCTTTGACATTATTCTAGCATTTGCGATACGGCACTCAAGGGATAAAATGGATCACCCATTTTATTTCTTCATTTTGGTATCTTCGTATCGTATATTCAGATATTTTAAAGAGATATCATTGTACGGTAGATTATCGAACGCCACCTGACGCGACAAAAATACAACTAAATAAAAATACTCACCTAAAACCTCGTGTACACTCATATCTCGAAACAGAGGCAAGATTTTGACTTTTAATAGCAGCTGTTCCAATGGTATCCTGTGTATCTCCGGTACGGGCTGCTCGGAGAAATGGTACTGATACCGATGGGATGTGAACAAGTGTACACACACTCCGGGCATAACTCGACCAGCTCTGCCTCGACGTTGCTTAGCATTTGCCCGCGAAACCCATACCAGATCCAGTGACTCCATGTTGCGGTTTGAATCGAACCTAGAAAATGTAAATCATAAATAGTAATAATATTACAATTTAATTTCACAAAAGTACAAATAGGCTATCTTTTTACTTTTTTCAATAACATTTAGTATTAAAGTGACAAAAGATATAACAGTCCACCTGATGGTAAGTGGTTACTGCAGCCCATGGACACTAACAATCAACTTCAAATGAAGAAGGCAACATATGCTTTGTCAGTTCTGAAGGTAGCAGAATGGTCGTTTTGTGTGTATTTGGCGTTTGCGGCCAACACTCGACGACAAGTCGTATAGTGTCGGTTTTCTGTTCACAAATCAAAGAAATTTGGCGCAAGCCGCAAATAGCGATCACACGTTGGCAGAGTGTTTAGTTCATAGTTACGCTTTACGACTTAATAAAATTATTTCACGAACATGGCAGCATGGCCTAATGAGGAAATATTTAGGTTCATTGATTCTTATCACAATGAATCAGTTATATGGAAACCCAAACATGAGCAACATAAAAATAAGGCCGCGATCACTAACGTCCATCATCATCTAGCTACCAACGCAGAATGAAGCACGCCAACGTGTGAACAGCAACACAAAAATCTGCCGGGCGGGCTCGCCAAGCGCGCTTGATCAACGTGTACTGGAGCCTTATGAGGATTAAGATGTAATGCCTCACAGCTTGTAATTTATACTCGCTCTCTATATCTTTCAAACCGGAACACAGCAATATTTGACGAGAGAAATAGATAAAAGGGTGGCACCAAACCAGGCCAATTTCTAGACAGAAAAGGGGAGCCACCTAGGAGTTAATATATACTATTATTAGAAATTATTCTAGAGGTTAACTGTTAAAAATAATAAATGTGTGAGAGCAGATCTTTAACTTAGAGAGTTAGTTAAACATCCGCTCTCACGCAATGCTTGCTTACGCAATTAATCATTATCAGAAATAAAACAGCGTACTGCACTATACATTCAGTATAGAGCAAATACAGTTCGACCATACCGTAATATTTCCCCGTGCAAAATCATACAGTAGCTTTACGTGAGGAACTTAATTACTACAGCAACACTATCCATCTTAATGTAACACAGGCCAGCCTCTCAGCAACACGATCTTCTACGACGATGCCTACACTAGAGGAATTATTACAACGAACAGAACTACGATATTGCGACTGACTAAGACTCGTAAGGTATCTACAGTGAACTTTATACTGGGTTTCTAGATCTAGCCCTAATTCTACCCTCATTTGTTCGTATTTTCTTTTATTTTTTTACCCTCATTTCTAACACTATTAATTCCTACAGTGAATAATTCATCATCCATTCAGGCATTTCAGCCTATCAAAGTTCATTGCTGAACATAGGCCTCACCATAGAATGATTCATAGGGAGAATATTTGCCATAGTTGCCACACTTGGCAGGCAGGAAGATGCTGCTGTCCATTTCCTGGTTTGTTTCCCTCTGTCGCCTCTTATTACACCGACGGGACTATATGGGGTAGTGGATATTCTTACATCGCCACTATACAATCAAGTAAAAAATAATAGTGTTGTAAAAATGTGTTCAAAAAAATTGTTGCTTTAGCAAATTAATACTATACTAGCACTACACCTACATTTAATGTAGTAGCGAATACCGTCAGAGACAAATTTATTTATTTTATCCTTTATCACACCTCCCACTAGGGGTTACAAAGGGCGGACTTAATGCTCTATGGCATTCTCTACCAGACAAATGCAAATGGCGTAAAAAAATTATTAAAAATAAACTTTGGAATAAACTTCTAATTGCAGAAAAAAATGTGAATAGTTATCTTCTCCTTTTGATCTCCTGGATGTTAAAATTCGATTCATGCCGATTCCATTAAAACCGAATTACATTTAATAACTATTTTCAGTAACCCGAACTCGGGTTCAACAATAGCATGAACCAAAAATTATGCTAATTCAGCTAACTAAAGTATGTTCCTAGGGCAGGCGGAAAAACGTACATTGACCGAAAGTATTATGTTAGCATCGAAACAAAACGACAGGTATTGCTTCCATACATTTCATTATCGATTACGTATAGGGTTACCAGATGAAAAAATTAAAAGTCCGGAGAAGAGGCCTGATTTCCATTTAAAAATCCTGAGATTTTTTTACAGTTTGAGAAGAAAACCTTACTTAAAAAGGTATCTTCACATATTAAGTATGATAAAACTGTTTAAGTACCTGCTTGGATAAATAAGTTTTGATTTTAATTGTGTATCTTTTAAATGTGTGAATGTGTGTTAAAGGAAGGTTAGCCGTGTAGTGGCGGTCAAGAATATCCACTACCCCATATCCTCCCGTGGGTGTCGTAAAAGGCGACAAAGGGAAACAGGCAGGAGATGGGCAGCAGCATCTTCTTGATAACAATAAACTAACAATAAAAAAAAAACTGCGGTTGCCAACCCGCTCGCCAAGCGTGGCAACTATGGCAAATACCCCCCTATGAATGACAGTAACAAAGAAACGGCCCCCAGTCCCCGGCGGCCCCGCTATTCCTGGCTACGGTGGCAACCATGGTAACGGCGGGCAGGGGGTGCTAAGAATCTCCGGTGGAGGTTCGGTTGCCACCTTAGACGACTCGACCTGGCAACGTACAACGCACGCACCCTGAGGACTGACGAGAAGATCGTGGAGCTGGAAGAAGAGATAGACAAGTTGCGCTGGCATATTATAGGATTATCCGAAGTCCGAAGAGAGGGGGAGGACACAGTAATCCTCGAATCCGGCAACTTGCTCTATCACCGGGAGGGCGACCATCTGTCCCAAGGAGGTGTCGGATTTATCGTCCACAAGTCTCTCGTTAACAACGTTGTAAAGATCGGGAGTGTGTCGACGAGGGTTGCGTACCTTATACTCAGAATCACCAAACGGTATTCGCTGAAGGTCATACAGGTTTACGCACCAACCTCGGCACACCCCGATGAGGAGGTGGAGGAAATGTATGAGGATATCTCTAGAGCCATGCATTCCTCCAAAACCCAATATACGGTGTTAATGGGAGACTTCAATGCAAAACTAGGTACAAGAGAGAACGGTGAGCTGAAAGTAGGGAAATTTGGAATAGGGCAACGGAACCCAAGGGGCCAGCAGCTGGCCGACTTCATGGAGAAAGAGGGACTCTTTATGATGAACTCTTTCTTCCAGAAGCGGCCCCACAGGAAGTGGACCTGGTCGAGCCCCGACGGTTCGACAAAAAATGCAATTGACTTCATTATGACGACCAGACGACAACTGTTCAGTGATAACTCCGTGATCGCGAGGGTGAAATCTGGTGGCGATCACCGATGGTTAGATGGTTAGAGGCACACTGAACCTAAGCGTTAAGTTGGAGAGGTCTCGTCTAATGAAGTCAACGCTCCGTCCCCCTCGTGCTTTGTTCCAAAGTCCCGAAACCTTTCAGCTCGAGTTACAAAACCGTTTTCAGTGCCTAGAAGACTGCAATGAAGTGGACGATATGAATGACAAGCTCGTGGAAACTGTCCATGCGGTCGGAGCTAAGTTCTACAAGACCCGCCGCAGCAGAACACAAAAACTCTCCGATCACACTCTTAATCTCATGGCTGTTAGACGGGAGATGAAGCTACATTCTTCAACAGACTTGACAGCATACAGGCATCTGAACAGACAGATCTCCAAATGCATGCGGCGGGACTTACGCAACTTCAATACAGCTCGGTTTGAAGAAGCGATCGAGCGGAACCAAGGCTCCAAAGTCTTTGCCAGAGATCTGTCTGCCAGAAAGAGCCAACTGTCAAAGCTGAAGACAGAATGTGGCAGCATCGTTTCCGGGATAATTGAGATTTTGAGTGAGATTGAGAGGTTCTATGGGCAATTGTACACGACATCGTTGGAGCCACACGCAAGTGTGAGTAACGATCCAAGAGCGAGTATTACTCATCCGACACTATTCCGAAGATATCCCGGACGTCAGTCTGAGCGAGATTAGAATGGCTCTCCAGCGCCTTAAAAACGGTAAGGCCCCAGGCGAGGATGTAATTACAGCGGAGCTTCTGAAAGCGGGTGGAAAACCGGTACTTGAAGTCCTTCAGAAGCTCTTTAATTCCATCCTTCATGGTGGCATTACACCGGAGGCGTGGAGCAGAAGTGCGGTGGTCTTGTTCTTCAAGAAAGGTGACAACGCTCTCTTGAAGAACTACAGACCGATTTCCCTTCTGAGCCGCGTCTACGTGCTGTTTTCGAGAGTCATTACGAATCGTCTCGCGCGCAGACTTGACGACTTCCAGCCTCCCGAACAAGCCGGTTTCCGAAAGGGCTTTAGCACCATAGACCACATACATACCCTTCGGCAAATTGTACAGAAGTCCGAAGAGTACAATTTGCCACTATGTTTGGCGTATGTGGACTATGAGAAAGCCTTTGATTGAAGTGCTTGTACAGTAGGGCTACGATGGCTATCAGAGTACAGAACCAGAGTACGAAACCTATCCAATTGCAGAGAGGTGTAAGACAGGGTGACGTCATATCCCCGAAACTCTTCACCGCTGCATTGGAAGACGTTTTCAAGCTTCTGGACTAGAAAGGATACGGTATCAACATCAATGGCGAGTACATCACTCACCTTCAATTAGCCGACGATATAGTCCTTATGGCAGAATCGCTGGATGACCTAAGCACTATGCTCAATGACCTCAATAGTGTTTCCCAACGGATAGGTCTTAAGATGAACATGGACAAAACAAAGATCATGTTTAATGTCCATGTCACACCTATGCCGGTAGTTGTTGGGAACACTAAGCTCCAAGTTGTTGGGACAAAGAAGCTAGTGGGACAAATAGTCCGACTAGGTAAGTCCAACTTCGACCGAGAGGTCAATCGACGGATTCAACTCGGTTGGGCAGCGTTCCGGAAATTACGGCACATCTTCTCGTCAGGTATACCTCAAAACTTGAAAACGAGACTGTACACCCAGTGCGTGTTGCCAGTGATGACATACGGAACTGAGACGTGGTCCTTCACTGCTGGCCGGATGAGGAAGCTCAAGGTCGGTCAGCGAGCTATGGAAAGGACTATGCTCGGAGTTTCTCTGCGTGATAAACTCAGAAATGAGGATATCCGCAGTAGAACCAGAGTGACCGACATAGCCCAACGGATTAGTAAGCTGAAGTGGCAATGGGCCGGCCATATAGCTCGAAGAACCGACAACCGATGGGGAAGAAAGGTTCTCGAGTGGCAGCCTCGTACCGGCAGGCGAAGTGTAGGGCGTCCCCCCACTAGATGGAGTGACGACCTGGTAAGATATGCATGAAGTCGATGGATGCAGGTGGCTCAGGACCGTGCTTTGTGGCATTCTTTGGGGGAGGCCTATGTTCAGCAGTGGACTTGTGAAGGGCTGTAATGATGATGATGATGATGATGATGATGTGTTAAAGGAAAATTATTTTTAATTTGTTTAACTTTTTATTAAAAAGATCTTTAAAATGTAAGCTGTATTATATTGAAAGTTCTAAAATCCTGAGATTTCACAAGATTTGCAAAATCCAGCCGCAATCCTGAGAAGAGACTAAAAATCCTGAAATCTCAGGACAAATCCTGAGATATGGTAACCCTAATTACGTATCGTTATGCGCTATGAAGGAAGCGGTCATTCAGAGATAACAAACCTGTTTCGACAATATTCGCGGTCTCGCGTCGTGTGCATTTGCGAGAGCGGGCAAAGCAGGACTCATTCCTCATCCACTCATTCTGCGTTGGAATGCGCTTGCGTGTAGATAGTTTAAGATTTAAAATTTCCGGTTATAGATGTTATTTTCATTTTTATTAAGTTTTTTTTGTTTGTTTGTTGTATTGTTACGTTTTGTATTAAACTGTTTGTTATTGTTTTGTGACGATTTGTATATTATCACCGGTATGGAACCGGGTCCATCGACATCAAAATCTTATAAAGATTTTACGTCATCACGAAAGAAGCGGAAAGTGTCGCATATTTCGAGAACCGAAAAAATAATGATTGTAAACGTCTATAAATATGTAAAAGAAACGTGGTCTAGTGATGTATATCCCATCCAAAAAGGATATGAAAAAGAAAACTGCCGATATTTTAGGTATTGGAAAAACTTCAGTTTACCGTATTTTAAATGAATACAAAGAAACGGATACAGTGAGGCCACCTGGTCCGCCAAAAAGGCTACCGAATTTGGTTGGGAGTGTAAAGGATTTTGACAAGTCATGCATTAGAAGAAAAGTGCATAAGCTTTATTTAAAGGGTGAGATACTAACATTAAATAAAATATTGCAGGCAGGCAATTCAGATGACACGCTACCAAATTTCAGCCGTGTATCACTTTGGGGCCCGTTAAAAATTTAAAAATTTAAATAAATTAAAAAAAAAGGAAGAGCGGCATTCTCAAACTGTTTTAATAAACGAAAAAAATAAATAAAAATCACACTGATGGTTTGCAGTTTTGATCAATACTAGTATCATAATAAAACTTTTCATATTTCAGGTCATATTATCAGGTAAAGCTTAGGAAGATACAACAGTGAAATCTGTGAGGGAAGTCTTTTTAGATGACTTGTCAACAGAATCTAAAAAACCGACCTCGAAAGGTAATAGATTAATTACATTGCATAAGAGGCAAGAAGGGTTTTCTGCCAGAAAGTCAGTGGATATTTGAAAATAAGACCACAGGAGATTACCACGAGACAATGAATGCGGATGGTTTTGAAAAGTGGTTTAGCAGTGTTTAACAAAAATTAAACCAAACACTGTCATTGTGATAGACAATGCAACATACCAGTCGAGACGCCAACGATTACCGGTCACAAGTTGGAGGAAAAAAGCCATTCAAGAATGGCTATCCTCAAAGGATATAATATTTAAAAATAAGGAAACGAAAACTGAATTACTTGCAAAAGTAAAAAAAATGTTAGGGAAAAATACCAATACAAAAATAAAAAATACTATCTTATGTCACCGAACAAATGGCAAAACAAACCGGTATTAAAGTTCTGCGCTTGCTACCACTGCAAACTCAATCCTATTGAGCTGGTCTGGGCAGACGTTAAAGGCTACGTGGCGCGTAACAATACCACTTTTAAAATGGCAGATGTCAAAAAACTATTCGAAGAAGAGCTAAACAATATTCATATAAAGTGGAAGAACTGTATTAACCACGTCATAAAAGAAGAAAACAAAATAAATGAATTGGATAGTGCCATTGATAAAACTGTAGATAGTTTTATAAACCAATGTGGCGGACTTCATCATCAGAAAATTATTCTGAAATAGATACAGAAGAATAGTCTGTCAAGTGTCTCTGATAAGATTATCAGAGACACTTGACAGACATGCATAAAACTTCTCATAATAGATATTATGAGAAGTTTTATGCATGCTTCAAGGTTAACTGCTAAAGAATGCTTAGCATTAAAAGTTCGCCTTTTTACCGGACTGCCAAGAAGTGGTTATGTTTTGTACAACTACCTACTTATTAAACTACTACCTACTAAACTTACCTACTGTTAACGTAATAATGAAAATTGTGATAACTCTTATGATTTATAAATAATAAATTTAAATTAATATTAATTCGTTTTTTAATTAATATAAGTACCTACAGGATAATCTTCTTTCTTCACAATAAAATAATAGACAGGACCTGCGAAGAACTTCGCACTCGGCACTCTTATCTTTCACTCTGATGATATATGTAATGATACAAGGAAAAAAAAATACCTAAAATAAGGTTGGATGATGTCGTTAAAGGTCAATGTACGTTTTTCCGCCTGCCTTAGAAACATATGTACTATAATATTGTTTAAGAGTATGATCCTTCCCTGGCCAAATATAACTTTTTACGAGTCACGACCAGAAACTAGTGACAGATGTATCTGATCTGATCCGGCTCAAAGGACCAATTGAATAAAAGTAATTTTACAGAGTTTAAAGCGTTTAATTTAACTTATTTTTCATTTTCGTTTTATGGTCACGGGGGGAGGGACCTCATTAAAAATAAGTTAAATTAAACGCGATAAAATTTGTAAAATTAATTTTATTCAATGCCAAGTATTCGTGTAAATATAAGAAATCATCAAAGGACCATTGTTTCGGCATACGCTTTTATTTCAATTTATTTTTTATTTTTTGTAAGATCATAATCAGTCCAATGTTGGACATGGCTCCCTCCTATAGTAGAGAAGATCAGTCCTACACTCTTGGCGAACTGGCGATCGTAGTACTACAGTCTTGTACATTTTGAAGTTGGTCTCTATCTCTATAGAAAGCCCCAAGATCTATCACAATTTAAAATGGGATGGGTAATGTATTTTCTAAAACTACTCTCATTTCTTTTTTCGCCAATTCTGTATGTACACACAATTATTATTTCATAAAAGCTTCATACAAGTAATTGAGGAACTAAAATGAGGAAATGTCTCAATATGACTGAGATGAAAATTTAAACCTATGACTAAGAAGGTTACCTCAGCTGTGTAGAAGCGTCCTTATTACAAGAAATGAATATCTATTATAACAAATATATTACCTTTTTTCTTTCATCCTTCCACAGTCTATTACAAATACACAATCGTCGATAGTTACAGAAGTTTCTGCAATGTTTGTGGACAGCACTATTTTACGAACTCCAGGTCTTGGTTTTTTGAAAACTAGCGCCTGTTCTTCGCTAGATAACGTCGAATGGAGCGGCACTAGAATGTATTTTCCAGTTCTGGAAATTGAATTTTAAATATTATGAAGAGCTTAAAAACAAGAACGCATACAAGAATATCCAACAAGAATATTACAAACAATAGAGTGACCTTACAAAATAACACAAATATAAAAAAGCAAACCATACTCACTTAGGACTAAAAGTATGGCTCTCAACTAACTGGTCATGCAAAGTCATTATTTCAGCAATACCCGGTAAAAATACTAAGATGGCACCTTCTCTCGGCCATTTATGGTCTCCTTCCACGATATACGTTAACACATGTTCGACAAGCTCCAGATTTATCTATAAGAAAATAAAAATTTGTTATTTTTGGCCTGAAGATGCTTTTATTATTATTTTCCTTAATTATTTAAAATGAGAAGAAGAGATAGAAATATGAGTTTTATTCCATTGATTTATTGAAACATCATAAATCAACAGCCAGACATGTTTATTATATATATAAAGTGTCATCTTTATGATATTCTTTTGTCGAGGCAATTAGTAAGAAGGTTTAGGAAAATGCAATAAGTTCTCTGTTAAAATAAAGATATTATTGAATAAATATGTTCCTAAATTTTTTTCTATAGTTTGCAAAATCTCTGGAAGTTTTAATGATTTTATACACTGATGACTGACAAACTATAGACATATGCAACAAAAATATAAAAGTTTTGTGAAAGTGATAGAATAGAATAGAATAGAATGATTTTTATTCAATATGGATTATTACATAATACTTATTGAAAGTCATTATTTTATTTACCACTGGTTCGGAAAATACCTCTGTCCTAGGAAGAACCAGCAAGAAACCCAGCGGGACCTTTTTTTTAAACATAATTTCACTTAACAATAATTTTGTTTATACAATTTTAAATGAATTTTCATAGAACCAGCATGGTGGCGATCACCTTATTCCCAGGGGTTATTTTCATTCATGTATTCCTTGATATTATAATAACCCTTTTTGTACAGTTTTTCTTTAATAAAACTTTTAAACTTGTTTATTGACAAACTTTGAACATGTTCTGGGATTCTGTTGTAAAAGCGTATACATTGCCCCATAAATGAATTACTAATTCTGTGGAGTCTAGTAAGTAGCATTACAAGCTTATGTTTGTTCCTAGTGTTTAAGGTATGAACATCCTTATTCTTATTAAAGCTATTTATGTTTTTATGTACATACATTACATTTTCATAAATATATTGCGATGCCAAAGTTAATATGTTTATTTCTTTAAATTTTTCTCTAAGGGACTTTTTACAATTTAGATTATAAATCGCCCGTACGGCTCTCTTTTGCAAAACAAATATAGATTCAATATCAGTCGCATTACCCCATAGCAAAATTCCATAAGACATTACGCTATGAAAGTAACTAAAATACACTAACCTAGCTGTCTCAACATCTGTGAGACTTCTAATCTTTCTTACAGCATATGCTGCAGAACTAAGTCTGCTTGCTAATTTAGATATATGGGGGCCCCATTGAAGTTTCGCGTCAATAGTAATACCGAGAAAAACAGTGGTATCCACAAGACTCAACTCCTCCCCATTTAAGAGCACATTGGTTTTCGAATGTTTTACATTAGGTATTGTAAATTTAATACATTTTGTCTTTGTGGCGGATTGGGATTATTTTACTAGATATAGTGGACTGTATTGAGAATCTAAATCCCCTGAAACGTTCAGTTACCGCAGTCACAAAATCACACCAAAAACAGCAACAAACTACTCACGGTCTTACTAGCCAGCCTCCCAAGATCAGCAAACGTTGACAGCTCCTGGTAGCTTCTTCTACACGGTAGAATACACTAGCAATTAGATTGTACACGGTACACTCTGGAGTAGTCCCTTTTTTTAAGTTTTTGGAGAGATGTTCACATCACGAACACAAAGAGAATGTGTGTGGCTTGTCTCGCCTCCTACCCTCCTCTTCTCTTTTTTTAACTCCACAGATTATTACAACGCATATTACGTCGCAATGTTGCCACTAGGTGTGACCGGCGCTCCGATCGTAGCAGATCATTGTGCCTCGGTATAAATTTTGTGAGTTGCGGTTTATTACTGAACACACCCCCCACCGAAACCATCTTGATGGTTTCTCCTAACTATATGAAAAAGATATTAGAGAAAATATTATAACTTAAGCTACGGAACATGCAAAATAACGCTGAGACACAGAATGTCCTCAACGAGAAAAAAAAATATTAAGACACGTAAAAACTAATTTGAATAAGGTAGAGGACTCAGTTTATTAACTGGTCTCTGTAGAGTACTCTTTTGAGTGCGAAGCGTAACACAACGAACAATCCCATCTGGACCGGGGTGAAGAGCCTCAATTCTACCCAAAGGCCAATTGCACGGCGGTACATTATCAGTTTTTATGATTACGAGATCACCTATTTTTATATTAGATCTATCCGAATGCCACTTTGCTTTCTGTTGCAGCGTATTTAGATATTCGTGACTCCATCTACGCCAAAACATTTGTGAACATTTTTGAATATATTGCCAACGTGATAATCGATTTATTGTTATATCCTCTACATTATACTCAGGTACTGCTGTTAACCCTTTTCCAATTAGAAAGTGTCCCGCAGTCAAAACGTTGAACTCATCAGGATTATCACTAGCTGGTAACGGACAAAGCGGCCGCGAGTTGAGAATCGCTTCTACTTTACAAAACACTGTTGTGAGTTCCTCGAACGTCAAACTTTTTTCTCCTACGGCTCGCGTTAATAGATACTTGGCGGATTTAATTCCAGCTTCCCAGAGCCCACCCATATGTGGTGCACCAGGGGGATTAAATCTCCATATAATTTGTCGTTTTGAGCAACCCTCTAATATATTGTTTTTTTGTTCGAGCATAAATCTTTGTACTTCGGTTAAATGCTTACTAGCAGCTATGAAATTAGTTCCGCAATCAGAATAAAGGAAGGAGCACACACCGCGTCGCGCTACAAATCTGTCTAGACACGCGAGGAAACAGTCCGATGACAACGACGATAAGACTTCAAGGTGTACAGCTTTTGTCGAATAACAAATAAATAATGCTAAATATGACCGTTCAACCCTAGCATTTCGTCGTAAACTTTCTTTTGTAAAGAACGGACCACCGAGGTCCACCCCTACATGCTCAAAAACATTACAAGGTATCAATCGGGCTGCTGGCAAAGGTGCCATCTCAGGCTGTAAGAGCACTGGGTTGTGATTAAAACAAATTTTGCATTTGGACAAAACTGACCGAATAATGCGACGGGATGCTAAAATCCAAAAATTTTGATTAATAATGTTTTGTAAGGTGCGTGGACCTACGTGTAAATATTTTTTATGTAAATATTCAATAAGTAAAAAGGTAAATCTACTATTTTTAGGTATTAAACGAGGATGCTTCGCGTTATAAGGTAACGCTGAATAATTTATTCGACCCCCCACCCTGAGGTATCCGCGTTCGTCAATAAATGGAGATAATTTTCTCAACGACGGAACGTACTTTGTGCCCTTTGACAATCTATTTATTTCATTTGCGAAGTATGCACTTTGTACTAATTTAATTAAAACATCTTGGGCAGTATTTAATTCGTTAGTCGTCAGTATTGATTGCTTCGAGTGACCGGATTTGAGTCGGAACAATCTCAATATTCGAGCAAACGTACGTTGCAGTTTATAATAAGAAGAGAAATTGGAAAAGATTCGGTCACAGAACTCTAACTTAGTCTCCTCTATCGAATTATTTTCATTTGTGATTAAATTGAAGGAGCCTAATGTATGATTTGATTTCATTTCGGGTGTATTACTTTCATGTTGGTTGATAAATGTTCTCACTGGCCACTGCGAATAGTCGTCGTACAACCAAGATGGGCCCTTCAACCACTGCTCACTGCACTCCACGAGCTGTGACGGAGACGCTCCGCGCGAGCATATGTCTGCCATATTGCACTCACTACTCACGTGACGCCAACAGTGTGGAGGTAACACTTCACATACCTGAGTAACACGGTTACTAACAAACGGCTTTAATTTGTAAGCTTCTGTCTGAAGCCACGTCAACACGATAGTCGAATCGGTTAACGCAGTAATACGAGTAATTTTTACACGAGTTAAAATGTCACGGACATATCTAATTAATTTGCTTAACAAAACTGACGCCATTAATTCCAACCTCGGGATAGTTAATGGTTTGACGGGGGCTACTTTAGATTTTGCTGTCACCAGGCGTACTTTAGTTTGACCTCTATCGTTGCGACTGATCACATACACACAACTAGCATAACCGCGAGAGCTTGCATCGCAAAAGGCGACCAATTCGCATTCGGTCTGTTCTGGTAGCAGCATATGTCTATCTATCTTGATTGCCGTTAGTCGCGGGAGATCATCAACGTAATTAAGCCAGCGCTTAGTTACGTCAGTTGGCAGCTGCTCATCCCATCCTATGCCCAGCTTCCATAAATCTTGCATTATCTCTTTCGCGATGAAAATGCACGGTGAAATAAAACCCACGGGGTCGTAAATAGAAGCTAATAATTTTAAAACAGAACGTTTAGTTGTTACTTTATCAGTCTTATCTACTGTGAAATAAAAACAGTCAGTCAAAGGGAACCATTTCAGACCTAGCACTTTGACTGAATATTTGTTACCATCTTTCATAAATGTAACAGGACACTCTCGGTTTTCTAACGGAACGCGTTGTAAAACTTTTGCACTATTACTCGCCCACCTTTTGAGTATAAAGCCACCGGAATTAAACATCTCTAAAAGTTCATCTTGTAACCGAGATATCTGTGACAATGAACTGCAAGAATATAGAATGTCATCCATGTACACGCCCTCGCGCACAACCTTTGCAGCGAGTGGGAAACGTTCTTCCTCGTCATAGGCTAACTGTAAGAGGGTGCGGATAGCTAAGAACGGTGAGCAACTTAAGCCGTAAGTGACAGTTTTTAATTCATAAACGTCAATGGCATCGTTAGGCGAATGACGATACAAAATATGTTGATAACATCTATCTGACTGATTCAGTTTAATTGCCCGATACATTTTGCATACGTCACAAATCAAACAATATTCAAACAACCTAAAATTCAATATTATAGCCCCAATATCTCGATACAGATTAGGCCCGGTCAATAGAATATCATTAAGCGAAACGTTCGTGGACGTTTTAGCCGAGGCATCGAATACCACACGCAAAGGAGTAGTGGAACTACTGGGCTTAAGTATACTGTGATGAGGTATCACATATTTGCTTGGGGTGTCCCCCGAATAAAGCTCCATGTGCCCTAGATTTTCATATTCGCACATGAACTCTGAATAGGCTTGTCGTAATACAGGTGAACGATTCAACTTGCGCTCGGTGAACAAGAGTCGCCGCTCGGCTGCCGCTCGTGACGCGCCCAACGGAGGCGGGTCTGGTATGAATGGTAACGGCACTGAATAGGTACCATCCTCAGTACGACTATAACGAGCCACGAAAATGTCTTCCGCTAATTGTTCCAAAGGATTAATCGAGGGTTTGCTTGGCAATTCTTCGATTTCCCAAAACTTACGCAACGTTTGATCTAAAGACTCTTGTTCATCAAATGAGACTGATAAATTATAATTTTTTAAATTGTCCTTATCATTGCTATAAAGTTTACCACTTACAACAAACCCGAAAGCGGTATCGATCACGCTTGGTATATCCGATGAAATAATATATGGTTTATCCTTAATTAGTTCCGAAACTATATCATTGCCCAATAGTATATCGATACGCGAACGCTTATAAAATAATGGATCAGCTAAATTAAAATTCTTATATTTATTAATAACGTCCGAGTGGAATCGAACGTTAGGCATATCAGCAGATACCTTAGTCACTACGACCATGTTCAGTGTAAAACTAGGTAGGTCAGTGTGTAGGGACCTTAATGTGCATGTAATCATGCCGTGATTTTTTACAGCCTCTCCACCGAGACCATAAATATTAAACGAACACTTCTTTCGAGGTAAGCCCAAACGTTGAGCACACTCAGTTGTAATAAATGAGCTCTGAGCTCCAGAGTCAATAACTGCACGGCAGTATTGAAGCTGGCCGCTACTATCAATTACTAACACGCGCGCCGTTCCCAATACAACACCGTAACCCGAGTGAGCGTTATTGGAATGAAGCGTATCTATCGTATAACGCTCTGAGTCACTCATAGCCTGAGACGAGACGAGTGCTTGTTGCACTTGCGAGTCAGAGCACAATGGACGGGTGGATGTTGGCACGAGCGTGTCGCTCACTGGCTCCCTATGCAATAGATAATGATGTAGTGACGCACATACACCACAAGACATCTCACTTTTACAAGTTGAGGTATCATGATTTCCTTTTAGGCAATTATGACATAATTTTAAGGTATTGACACGGTCAATCCTTTTATCTACGGTCAATTTACGAAATTGATCGCACCTATAAATCATGTGATTTTGATTGCAATGCGCGCAAATTATTTTTTTATTTTTATTATAATTTGACACATTAGTATTTAAAACTGTCTTTGAATAACTTTTGTAGTGGTTATTATTGTTGCCTTTGTAATTGTTACATATAGACTTATTTCTTGATTGTAACGACATCGTACTATTCGATGAATGTTCGAGTACTTTAACTTGTTTATTTACAAAACTAATTAATTCCGAAAAAGATGGAAGTGAATTTTGATCCCGATTTTCTTCAAAAAGCCTCCTAGTATGCGCATCCAACCCACGTAAGGCTAAATGACAAAATAAATAGTCATGTAAATTTTTAATTTTTAATGCCTCGATGGCTTTAAAAGAGTGATCGAATGTTTCGATAAATAAAGTAAGATTTGCGGTAGTATCTTTATTTAACGGCGTAAAGTTTATCATTTTGTCGATGTACCTACCCACGAGTATTCGATCATCTTGATATTTATTACATAAACTTTGCCATACGACAGTATAATTAGCGGCTGTTATGGGCAATTTTTTAACAATGTTTAATGCCGAACCTTTAACACATGAAAGCAAATAGTGAAACTTATCTATTTCATCGAAATCTCGATTGTGGACAAGTGATACAAATGTATCGTAGAATGTGGTCCACTTCTCAATATCACCATCGAATTCAAATAAACGTAATTTAGGTAATGACGGCCTTACATCACTCCTATCTTTCCTACTGAGGGATGCCTGCTCGTCCGGTTTTAATCTTAAATATTGCAACCGACATGCCTTATAAAGTTCATCAAATGTATCTAATTCTCGCGTTGACAATCTTGTCTCCGGTTTTAATGATATATCTATTTCAATAATATTTAACACTGTTTCTTCAAACTTTGAGCGGACACTTTCCAATTCGGAATAATCGGCTAAGAAATTCTGAATTTGTGTGGGATCATTTATTTGGGATCTCGCGATATCGAAAACCTTTTGTAATTTAGCAAATAGGTATTCCTTTTTAAAAATAAGTGTTTGCCTTTTTATTTGTAATTTATCCGACATTATGAACAAATTACAAAATTAATACTTTATAAACGCACCGCGAGCAATGGACATCCAGGTAAAAAAGAGGCAAATTAAATAAGGGATATTAAATTAATTAAATGCGTAGTTTTACTCAAATATATGACGTCCACGGGACGCGAATAAAGTGTAGAAAATTATTATTCGAAGATCACTAATTCGAATATATACGGCTCGAAGGCCAGAAATGTGGCGGATTGGGATTATTTTACTAGATATAGTGGACTGTATTGAGAATCTAAATCCCCTGAAACGTTCAGTTACCGCAGTCACAAAATCACACCAAAAACAGCAACAAACTACTCACGGTCTTACTAGCCAGCCTCCCAAGATCAGCAAACGTTGACAGCTCCTGGTAGCTTCTTCTACACGGTAGAATACACTAGCAATTAGATTGTACACGGTACACTCTGGAGTAGTCCCTTTTTTTAAGTTTTTGGAGAGATGTTCACATCACGAACACAAAGAGAATGTGTGTGGCTTGTCTCGCCTCCTACCCTCCTCTTCTCTTTTTTTAACTCCACAGATTATTACAACGCATATTACGTCGCAATGTTGCCACTAGGTGTGACCGGCGCTCCGATCGTAGCAGATCATTGTGCCTCGGTATAAATTTTGTGAGTTGCGGTTTATTACTGAACAGTCTTATTGCCGTTCAAGAGCAAATTGTTGGCGTTAAACCAATGTACTAGTTTCGATAGAGCATTATTTACATCGTCATATTTAATTGACTGCCGTTTCAGTTTGAAAATAAAAGAGGTATCGTCAGCAAATAATACTATATAGTGATTGTCCCCTACAAGATAAGGTAAGTCATTAATATAGATTAAGAACAGGAATGGGCCAAGAATCGAGCCCTGAGGAACGCCCATTGATACTACCGATCCGGAGGAACATTTACCATTAATGACGACTTTTTGAGTTCTGTTACTTAAATATGAAGTAATAAGTTTAAGCGCCAAATTTTTTACACCGTAATGTTGTAGTTTCCTGATTAATGTATCATGATGAACACAATCGAAAGCCTTGGAAAGGTCACAGAAAATACCTAAGGCATCTTGTGAATTCTCCCAGGCATTAAAGATATATTTCATAAGCTCAACACCGGCGTCAGACGTCGAGCGACCCCTTGTAAAACCAAATTGATTTTTATGAAGTAATTTATTTGTATTAAAAAAAATTAACAATTGATCCAAAATTATTTTTTCAAAAATTTTACTGAGAGTTGGTAGTACAGAAATAGGTCTATAATTAGCGGGGTCCAATGTACTACCAGATTTAAATAAAGGTATTACTTTACTATACTTCATTAAATCAGGAAACACACCAGAATCGATACAAGTATTAAAAATAATAGCAAGATGAGGTGCAATTAAATCTATTATGGACGCAATCACTGTAACGGAAATCCCCCACAAATCTGCGGTTTTCTTTACATTAACGGTTTTGAAGTATTTAACAATATTATGCGGTAATACTTTTTCAAATCTAAATTCTTTTAAACTGGTATTAACATTCTGTTTAAGTAATGACTCGGCGACAGTTGGAGAATTATTCAATGACTCTGTTGTCAAGATAGGAACATCAGTGAAATATTTCTCAAACACCGCTGCAACTTCTTGATTTGATTTAGTCAATTCATTATTAATTTTTAATTGATAGTTTGAGTTACGAGGTTTCTCTTTACCGGTTTCGCTGTTAATTATACTCCACGTCATTTTAATTTTATTCTTAGCCGATATACACTCTGTAAACACCAGGAACAAACAAAAGCTAGTGATACCAGTTTCTTGATTCCACAGATTTAGTAATTCATTTATAGGCAATGTATACAATGTTTTTTTTGTATATAGAATAAAGGTGACAAAAGAGCACAGAGTCCACCTGATGGTAAGTGGATGCTAAGGAGGACTAAAATGGAATGCCTCGTTTCCAGTAAAAAGGGTCTCCAGTTCACTACACTCGCCATACGAAACACAGCAGCATTAAGCTGCAATTTTATGCTGGTATTCTGTGAGAGCGTGGTCCTTCCCCGGTCGAGCCAACCCATTCGTACTACAACAATAATACAGCTGCAGCATAACTTCACCACGTATTACGCCACGTCACGTTGTAACAAAGTCCCAGAAAATAGAGACACCTTAGTTTAAATATTTTATTAAGCAAAAACTGTATAGACACGGTCATTAATTCTTATAATATAAATGAATACATGGTTGATATTAACCCCTAGGAATGAGGTTGTCGCTTCAAAATTGTTTATTATATAACTTTTGTAAGTAGTTTGTACAATCTGTATTTTATTGTAAAATTTTACTTTGAAAAAAAAAAGGCCCGCTGGGTTTGTTGCTGGGTCTTCTTAGGACAGAGGTTTTTTTGTGAACCAGTGGTAAAAGTAAAAAAAAATACTTTTAATAATAAGTACTAATAACAAGTACCTTTTCAGAATCCATAAGGTATAAGTTCTTGCAAGTAATTTTACTACAGTGTGGATATCTTGCTAATATCTGTGACACAGTTAAATTATCATCTCGGATAGAGACTTTGGGTGGCTCAGTTGCCTCCGAACGTACGTCACAAGTTTCCAACTCGGTTTCCAAATCTTGCCTTTTGTCCTTATCTCCTGTAAAGTTTTTATTGTAATTTTTCTTTAAGTAAAATCAGGCTAATAATTTCATACATTTTTTTTAATTTAGTTCTCTCTCTTTAAGTAGTCTTTGTTTTTTTTTAAATTCATATCAACAATCATATTAATATTCATTTGGACATAAGAGAATCTATTACTCGTCCCTAAACCTAATGGGAGAATGACGAAAATATCGATAAAGGATTATGCGAAACGTCATGTCCGAAAGCCGTTGTAGCTGAGGGGCTAAGTGCTCGCTGTAAATTTCATAGTACGCAGCAACCCGGGTTCGATCCCCGTCGGCACCAATGAAATTGTTAATTGCATCTTTAAATTCTGATTTACCACGTGCTCAGCGGTGAAGGAAAACATTGTGAGGAAAAGTGCATGTCTGAGAAATAAAAAAAAAATAACATGTGAAGTCCGCCAACTCTAAGAAGTGAGAGGAGGCCTGTGCCCAGTAGAGGGATTCATATAGGATTTATGTCCGAAACTCAAGACCATCAATCATATTAAACTGTGATTACTTAGGAGTCTGTATATATTAATATACTAGCTGTTCCCCGCGACTTCGTTCGCGTGTTAGTGTTTTTATGTTTCTGCGCGGAACCCTGATTATTTTTCTAAAATAAAAGTAGCCTATTTTACTCCTTATGAAATCAGCTATCTGTCAGTGAAAGTCCCGTCAAAATCGGTCCAGCCGTTTCGGAGATTACCCGGAACAAACAGACAGACAGACAGACAGACAGACAGACAGACAAAAATTTTAAAAATTGTATTTTAGTTATAGGTATCGTATTTACTTTCATATGCATTTAGTAAAAAACTGTAATTTTGACATTACAAACAGACACTTCAATTTTATTTATTTGTATAGATAACGTAAATCGACCTAAATTAAGAAAGGTTAGGAAAGACTTGTACAATGAACTTGATAATGACGACACAAACAATTTCCAACTTTTAAATAAATAACAAATGATACATTCATTACCTTTTTTCATTTTGCGTGCAAATGGTCCATTTTCTTCTAAAACATAATTGGTCACTTCCATAATTTCCTCCAAAAACAATTGTTCAACTGGGAAAGTTCTTCCTGAAAAATGATAGATATTTTAAAGAAATATATATAAAAAGATGGAGCGTTAACAACAAATAATATTTTTAGTTTTCTATTTTAAAAATACTAAAATTAATCTTTATATATAAAAATTAAGTGTCACATTGTTTGTCCACGATGAACTCCTAAACTACTAAACTGATTGCAATGAAATTTTGCACACTATGTGCTGTTTGCTCCAACTTGAGAGGTAGGATAGTTTTTATCCCTATAAGTGACCCTCTATATTTTTTATTACGAATTTAAGAATTTTTATAGGACACAGGGTCTTTGGAGAGGGCAGAACAACGTCTGCCTGGTCAGCTAGTACAGAAACAGAAACTTCTTTATTCAATATAGATTATAAATAATACTTATTGAAAGTCACTCTTTTGTTTAATTACCACTAGTACTATTATATAAAAACAAACCTGGTATCTCTAGAACTGGAACCTTGTTAAAGTAATCCGAAAACAAGTCTGCATTCAATGTTGCACTCATTAGAATGACTGTTAGATCTATTCTCACTTTGATAAGATCTCTTAGTATCAGTAACAAAAAGTCACTCTCTTCAGACCTTTCATGCACTTCATCTACTATGACATGAGTGACAGAATTCAATTGAGGGTCATATTCAAGTCTTCGTAAAAGGATCCCCGTTGTACAGAATGTTAATCTGGTTTTGGAAGATACCTTACTTTCCAACCTTATCTGAAACAAAAATTAGTTAAAACATTATATACAAGTGTGAACAATTGTATGTAAATATACACAACACATATTTTGTGTGTACAGAGATAGAAAAATTTAATAATTCACTCTCTTTCTTTAAAAAACGTAAACTCCACACTAGGATTTTCTCCTGTATCATGGAGGCAGTTTACAAACATAAATTGCACAAGGATGAACATCCAGACCCGGAACAATTATTTGTAAGCTATACAAATTCTTGTTCCATGTGGGATTCGAACCCGAGGCCCTTAGAGCTGCAACTCAATTGGTGAGCCACTACGCCACGAAGCCAGAAAATAATGGTGTTTTCTATATTTTAATAAAATTAAGCATAATCATAAAACAATAATGTTCTAGTAATAATAACATTAAAAGTAAGTATTCAATCTATACAAATAAATAAAATTGAAGAGTCTGTTTGTAATGTCAAAATAACATTTTTTTTAATAAATGCATATGAAAGTATTATTTTATTTTATTATTATTTGTCTTTGTTAAAATATTTGTCTGCCTGTCTGTTTATTCCGGCTAATCTCCGAAACGGCTGGACCGTTTTCGACGGGACTTTCACTGGCAGATAGCTGATGTTGTAAGGAGTAACTTAGGCTACTTATATTTTAGAAAAAGAATTAGGGTGTTTAGAATTATTTACAAATATGTAATACTTATATAGGTTTTACAAAATGATCACTAATTTAAATTGAATTCTATCTCAATAAATCGCAATGACATTCTTATAAGTAGTTAAATAGGCTTCCTCTTTTCTAGCCCCTAAATTGCGTGCCCAACAGGGTCCATAACACTGGTCTCACATTATTTTATAACATCTTGTGTACATTATGGTTTTGCAATAAAAGTTTGAGTTTTGAGTTTTTTTTTTGAGGGTTCCGCACAACATAATAGAAACCCTAAATTACACGCGGGCGAAGTCGCGGGGAATAGCTAGTAACACATAAAAATTTTGTCAGGTCTTTGCATAATATTACATTTTTTATAGTATGAGGTATGAGGGTGACAGACGAGCACACAATCCACCTTATGGTAAGTGGATACTGTGGCCGATAGACATCTACATCTATCCTCGATTAAGAATCAAAATGCAGATGCGTTGTCACCCCTGAGGATTAAGATGGAATGCCTCATTTCCAGTAAGAAGTGTCTCCGATTCTCTACACTCACTATACAAAACACAGCAGCTTTAAGCTGCTATTTTACACTGGTATTCTGAGCCAATATGCTCCTACCCCAGTCAAGCCGACTCATTCGTGCTACAATCATAATATGACTGCAATGTGGCTCTACCATGTGCTAAATACATTCATAATAAGTGAACATACAAGTTAAAAATTTAAACATAATTGTTTCATTAAAGAAAGCAAATACAGTAAATCTTATTTTTTTATTTTTATGTTTCTTTTGTTTTAGACATAATTTAAACATTGATTGTCATTACCATTTAATTGAAGCAATAAAAATAAAAATAAATGAATGCATATTTCTTTTCAGTACTTATATCTTACCTGGTAACCTACAACCTGTCCTGTTTTCTCTACTCTCTCATCTGCTACTCTATCAGCGACACCAATTGCTGATATTCGCCTAGGCTGGGTGCAGACTATTTCCACATGTTGCTTGCCACCCTTGTTGAAATTATCTAACCAATCATCTAAAATGTATTGCGGTACTTGTGTACTTTTGCCACAGCCTGTTTCACCACTTATAACAATAACCTGTAGATTTGTGAGTGAATTAGATTAGTTCTCAATATAATATGAACAATGTGTATACGGAAATAGTATTTTCTTGAATCACTTATTTTCATAATACCTGCCAGTACTGACCTGTGATATTTCCATAGCACTTAATATTTCTTTCCTCTTATTCCAAGCAGGAAGTCTTCTCCTGTCTGACATCATTTTATTGTATCTATTATTATCACGCTTTTCTAGCCATCTTTTAGCTATTTCTTTGTTCTCTTTTAAAATTTCTTCAAAGTCTACCTTAGATCTATTATTATTTGCTTGTCCTTTCTTATAGTGCGATGGTTGTTTTTCCTTGTTTAAGTTAGGGTCTTCAATCAGTTGTGGAAACAAGGCTTCAGAAGCATCTGGAAATGTTCTAGTATCAAATTGAATAAAGTTTAATATTTCTTCCTCATTGTTTAAAAGTTCTACCAATGAATAAATACTGGGTATACCATCTTGTGCTAAGATTTTTGCTTCTTCTAGAAGTCTTGCAGTTATTCTAAGAAGAATTAGTTCAGGTATAATGTTTGTAGGACTTTCTACTTTAAAGAAGATTAATGGTGGTTGGTAGGGGTAAGCAGTATCTTCAGGAAACCTTACCTCTAATTCATAAGTTATCTTTTTATCGTTTTCGGTTTCTGCGTCATTAGGAACACTACTTTCGTTGTTAATTTCATGTGAGAATTTGCACTTGGCGCCGAATCTACAAGGTCCTTTAAGGTAAAGTTTACACACTTCTTTTTTCTTTTTAAAGTTACTGTTGTAATTTATATTTTCTTTTTTCTTTGGTGTAGCCACAGCTTTATTTTCGTACATTTTAGTTAAGTAATCTAAGTTTAAACTTACAGACCATACATTAGTGTCTTTTACTTTAAAACTATTATCATAAATTGATTCTAACACAGCCTTTTCATCCATTCTCATTTCCAATAAATCTGAAGTTGACGGTAGGTTCTCTGGTTTGTTTTGCAAGTCTAATTTAAAATATTTAATGAATAGAATTTCCAACGACTTTTCGAGATTCTCAGCAGCCACTTCTAGTGCCTCTACACAATGTGCTTTATGAAAATTATATCTGAAATAGTTAATAAGCAATGAAAATTACATTATGGGATGATGGATGACAATAAAAATTTCGTACAATGACCCGTCATTGCTTGTCTTCGTAGCTCGCACATAGGTATAATGTCCGCCATCATCAGATATTGAAAATCTTATAGCCGTAACAATAAGTCTAGTCCTTGTGCACATATTTTTTATTTATAAAACTGACAAACGAATTTATAGCCCATGTGATGGTTGGTTGCTTACTACTGCAGTCTATGTGCAATCAGACCTGAACACAGCAGTGCAAGAACTGCTATTTGACAACAGAAATAGGTAAGAAGGTTGTACCTACCTAGTTGGACTCCTAGGCAGAAAATTAGACATATTTATTCATTTTTAAATTAGTTTTAGTGACATTAAAATGTAGTTCTCAAACGTAGTTAAACAGTTCTTGAAATTTAGTTGGTTGTATGTGTTTGTTATTTTATTATCTTGTGTCATTATTCAGTATTTTTTTAATTCTCTGTTAATATTCGCTTCTTTCGAAGCTGCCTTCCTATGGGCTTCCCGAGAAATTGTGCAATTGGATCACCAGTTTTCTTGCAGATCGGAGCATCAAGGTCGTAGTAGACGGTGCATGCTCTGATTAAAAGCCCATTAACGCTGGTGTTCCACAAGGCTGCGTGCTATCACCAACGCTGTTTCTTCTGCATATCAATGATATATTGCAAACCAGTAACATTCATTGCTATGCAGACGACAGCACTGGTGATGCTTTATACACCGGCCGTGCCAATATTTCTCGGGAAAACGTCGCCGAGTACCGGAACAAACTTGTGTCTGAAGTTGAGACTTTGTTGAACAAAGTCTCAGACTGGGGGCGACTAAATCTAGTCCAGTTCAATCCCCAGAAGACACAAGTTTGCGCGTTTACCGCTAAAAAGAATCCCTTTGTCGTATCTCCTCAGTTTAAAGGCACTACCCTTGTTGCCTCAGCCAGTATCGGTATCCTCGGTGTCGACATATCGAGTGACGTGCAGTTTCGTGGTCACTTGGAAGAGAAGGCCAAATTGGCCTCTAAAAAGCGTGGCGTGCTCAGCAGAACAGGACAGTATTTCATGCGGGCACACCGCTTGCAACTTTACACGGCGCAGGTTCGGCCTCACATGGAATACTGTTACCATCTCTGGGCAGGGGCTCCCCAGTGCCAGCTCCTTCCACTTGACCGCATCCAGCGCAGAGCGGTTCGAATCGTCGACGACCGAGTTCTTTCCGATCGGCTTGACTCACTGGCACTGCGTAGAGATGTTTTGCGTCTCTTTGCGTATTTTATCGCATCTACCACGGGAAATGCTCTGAGGAATTGTTCGGACTAATTCCAGCCGCTCAATTTCACCATTGCACATCACGACAATAGTTGCGATACCATCCATATCATCTGGATGATTGGCGGTCCACCACTGTGCGATTTAGAAGTTTTCTCCCTCGTACAACTTCCTTGTGGAATCGATTACCACCAGCGATTTTTCCGGACCGATACGAGTTAGGGACCTTCAAGAAAAGAGCCTACTCCTTTTTAAAAGGCCGGCAACGCATCTGCGATTCTCCTGGTGTTGCAGTTGTTCATGGTCGGCGGTAGTCACTTACCATCAGGTGAGCCGCATGCTCGTTTGCCCCCTCTCCTATAAAAAATAATAATAAAAATAATACTGTTATAAAATGGAACCAGTTCCTCTCTTCTCTACCTACCTTTTTTATATCTACCTTTTGATATCTCCATGGATGAAATGAAAAATGTCTCACTTTAGGAATACATAAATGTAATTAGATACATTATTTGTGATTTGCATTGACATATGTACTTGTTTCACTTATATTTTAATTTATGATTATATATACAATTCTTCTGTCCGTGTGTATTTGACTGAACTCCGCTTAAAGAGCATGGTTTTACCCATGATGGTTACACAATATTATTGTTATTCTCTCACATAATACTAGCGTAAAATAGCAGCTTAAAACTGCTGTGTTTCATATGGTGAGTGTAGAGAACCGGAGACTCTTTTTACTGGAAAAGAGGCATTTCATCTTAGTCCTCACGGGTGACAACAACATCTGCATTTTGATTCTTTATTGAGGATAGATGTAGATGTCTATGGGCCAAAGCAACCACTTACCATCAGGTGGACTGTGTGCTCGTTACACTCACTAGACTACAAATGGTTAAGTTCCAATATGATTTTTTACTCACTTCTCTAATTTGGATAAAGCAAAAGCCCTTAATCTAGCTTCTGATGTCTCAATGTCAGGCTTTACTGTTAGAGAATAATCACATCCACCTTGCACCACTAGATTACCTCTTTCCATCCAGAAACGATTACCCAAGTTTGAACCTTTATCCTTTTACAAAATAAAAAAATTATATATTTACATGTGCATTATTACCTATTAGTCTTATAAGTAGCGGCACGAAAATCTAGCGGTGACCGTTATTACGCCTAATTCGCGCTGATTGGTTTATTACGCATAAGTCGCGCCAATTGGCTCGTACGTATCGTTCGCACGCACTGATTGGCTTTCCAGTCACATTCATGAAAATCAATTCGTACGCGTCCTCTCCACGTTTCTTTCAGCGTTAGACTTACGTGCCGCTATTTGCACTAATTTTAACATGCATTTCCTCTTTGTTACAAAAATGCTATTTAGAAATAGGTGCTTTTCTTGGTATTTTGTTAACGAAAACCATAGTTTAAAGCAGTTTTAGATCAAGGCTTTAGCAAAGTTGGTGAGCAAAAATGATTTTAAACCTCGATTTGAAACTAATGAAACAGTTATTATGATGTTCTCACCTGTCAAAATTTTCATCATTTAACCAAACTATGTAGAGATGGTGTAAGAATATCCACTACTCCATATAATTCCAAGTGTGTTGTAAGAGGCCACAGGGGTAAACAATAAAGGAGATGGTCAGCAGCTTCTTTCTAATAAGGACTTAAAATAAAGAAACTACAGTTGCCAACTTGCTTGCTAAGTGTGGCAACTATGACAAATATCCCCCCTGTGAGCCAATCAATGGGGGATGCCTATGTTCAGCAGTAGAACTGAATATGCTGGGCTTAGCTCTCCATTGACTTCCGTCGAGTTGGGGGTTGATACATATTTTTACAGAAAAGTTACACTATTATAAGCACACACACAAAGTTACAACATGCGGCAACGCGTAATTTTTGAGAAAAAAGTTATTGAAAATCAATTATTCTTGCATTGTTTATATCTAATCCTACCATAAAACTGACGCCATTTTGTAAATATAATTCCATTTTATGAAAAACAAGAAAGATACCATAATAAATGATCTCTTATTGAATTTTGTTTTATTTTAACAGTACCAATTAGGGCAGATAACAAATAAAATAGGTTAGGTTCAACTTATGTCAAAGAACCGAATTGATTGACCCGGACTTCATCTGGTACGAGTCTATCCTACCCCTAGAGTGATTTTAAAGAGCCGGAGGCGCGTAGGGGGAGCAGCCTCCCTAAGGCGTAGAGGCTGCTCTTCCCGCAGCGCCGGAGCCGTAGCAGTCTCAAAATAGATACAGAAATCCTTCTGAATCAGTCCCCCTATATTTTATGATGAAGGAGATTTTTTTCTCATAAAATGGATTTATGTTTACATTATAAATACAAACATGAAAAAAATATAGATATTTTAGAAATCGATTTTTTGGGAATCGATACATCAGCTTACAATACGAATCTATTTAAAAAATCGATCTTTTTCGGAAAGAATCGACATCCCTACTGACAATAACAATAAAAAAATGGCGTGAGTTTTATTGTAGGATTAGACATAAACAATACAAGAATAATTGATTTTCAATAACTTTTTTCTCAAAAATTACGCGCTTCTGCATATTGTAACTTTGTGTGTGTGCTTATAATAGTGTAACTTTTCTGTAAAAATACGTATCAACCCCCAACTCGATGGGAGTAAATGGAAAGTCGTACCATAAGCTGTAACAGTAATGGTAACCAAAGTAAAAAAGCATATAGTTGTATTTATCAACTGTGTAGGACTTGTTACAGAATATAGAAACATGAGTGTATGGACATACAATAACATACCTATCCTAGTTTAAGTCCTTTGTTATGCCTATGTAACTAAATCTTAGATTTTGAATTAATGGTGGGTATGTTGCATTACATATTGTAGTCTCAATATTGTGCAACAGTTGAACATTCACATCAAAAGTCAACTGTTATCCTAATTTTTTGTCACTTTATTCGCCAGTTAGCAGTAAAAGGCAATGTAGTTACATTTACAAAACAATAATCTGAATGTTCATGTTTTATTATATAATATATATTTTTATATTATTTTTTTATTATATAATATTTTTGCTTACCAACTGACTGGTAAACTATATTGACTAGAAATGCTAAAAATACATCAACTCAATAAACAAATTAATTGGTTAATAAACTAGTTTACTGATGAAAACATAAGTCCTAATTCATAAATAAACTGCTTATTACTACATCACACTTTTTATGCTACATTACATTCAGTAGTGCAAGGATACCTTATGCTTAGCTATGGTATGTTACACGACTATACTCTAATGGAGTCAACCAACTCTCGCTTCATCACTGTGACTGACTTCAAACACTGCAAAAATGAGAATCTTAGGCTTTATATTGCGCAACGTTATCTCTACTTTTTAAGAGGAAGATTGGCAATGTGCTAACTTATTTATATATTTTACCTTATATATGCTTGCACTGCCAAGTTTAAATTCAGGTCCGTGAATAAACCTTAATGTATCCAAAACAAGCTTCTGTGAATCGGAACTGAGGCGAATTGTTTGCATTTCAACTTTAAGATGCGGATGAGAATCTTCCTCGGGCTCATTTTTGGGCTTCCTATGAGAAAGAAACACGTTTAATATTAATTAAAATAATATTAAATAAATATAGGATTTGCAGAGGTTATAGGGCCCACCTTATGCGGGCATCAACGGGTTCACGCAAGAAGAAGTCTTCTGCTAACTGTCTACTTTGATAATCCATGATTTAAGGATTATTAAGTTTATTAATTAAACAATAAAGCGTGTGTATTATTTGTTTTTAGTTAAAATAAAGAATTATGTATATTATGTTATACTAATAATCTATGGACAGATGTTATGTGTCAGCCATGTCAGCTGTCAGTGTCAAATGGTCAACTCAAAGCATAGAGCATAGACATAGATGACTAAAGAGCTACCTAAAGAGCTACAGAAATAGTTTATCATGATTAAAAGGCAAAGGTGATTAAATCTGTTCTTCCTAATCCACAGACATTATAGTTTGACGTGATCTTATTCACTAATATCAGAGACAGACTAGTCCCACGCACGCAACGTATCCAACGCATTATAACATCTGGACTCTTGATTTCGTATGAAAAACTTTGCATTAAATACACTTATCGTATGCAACGATATCACGTGACACGCGTCCGACGCAATGTCGATCTGCAATATCTAGATCGGCATGAAAAGGTGGAGGGGATGTTCGTACGCATCTGACGCTTACTGCCTTTTTCGGTAGCAGTACACTTGCCTGATTTTTGACTTTCTGCGTTTAGTGTGTGCCAGCCACTTTACTAAATCATCACCCCATCGAGCCAAGGACATCGCCAAACTACGTTTATTACTTTAAAGTACTTTCCTCATATGACTTTTACTGGCATAATACATGTAACCCTTATTTATTTAGTTGGGAAATTTAGAAACCTATATTTGATGGTAAATTCCAGTTTTATATTTGGCAATTCACGCTTTACCTACTGCTTTATTTTTGTATTGTTAGTATATTTATATTGAAAAGCGACTTATTTATGATATTATAATTGCGTACTTTACATTTTATATGTACAATCACCATCATCATTAGTGCTCACTACAAGTCCACCTCTAAATACCTCCTTCTCCAAAGACTACCACAATACACGATCTAGTGGGGTGCCGCCCTACACTACACTTCACTAGATGATATAATTACTTTTCTGCCTAGGGGTCCGTTTGGGTAGATACCACCTTCTTAGCTATTTCTGCGGCCAAATGGTAGTGCATGTACCTACTGCTGTGATTTGGCCTGACAGCTATAGAGAGCCTGTAAAATTGCAGGCTTCAGAGGTGACAACGCATCTGTATCATTTGTTTGTTTAAAGTTGGTTCCAGAAATCCATGGGTTGCAGTAGTCACTTACCATCTGGTGGCTTATGTGTTTTTTTATATATAGAATGGGGTTGACAAACAAGTAAACAGTCCACCTGATGGTAAGAAAAAATGAAGAAAAGATGAAGCGTCAGTATCCTAATGGCAGGGCGCGGTCCGCGAATTCGAAATGTCGTGGTTTCGAATCAGCCATTCGACTACCACTGAACCACTTCTAACACAAGTATTTTAAGCTTACCAGAAGTGGTTAAAGGGAATATTAGTAATGTTTAATAGCATTACTAGTATTTAAAAAAAAAGTGGATGCTGTGGCCCCTAGACATTTACATTTATCTACGATTAAGATTGATCATTTTGAAATGCAGTGGCGTTATCACCCCTGACGAATACGATGGTGTGGCCTTAGAAGGAAAAGGGGAGATCTCTCGCGGGGGGTGATGAAAGGAGTGCTGAGACCGGAGGTCAATATTGCAGTCTAGGCTAGGTGTTGATGAATATACAAGTACCAGGGAATTTTGCCTTGTAATTTGCGGTGGTTCGAGAAGAAGGCAAGTAATCTGCGAGAGTGCCGTGAAGCAGAAGCGAGCAGGAAGGCTCTGAGCCGTGCCGAACACTGTAGCGCATTGCTTGAAGGAACAGGAAGCATTATTCCAGTGCTGAGATGAACCTTTATAAAGTTAGACAGAGGATGTGAAGAGTGCAGACAATATCTGCTCGGGAGCGAATGGATGGGGTACTTGAAGACTATGACAAAGGCTTGAAGTTATAGTTTTCCGAAGATTGTTGGTTGCGTGTTAAAATCACGTCGGGTGTTCACCACTGTAGCCGGTGGAAAGCAAAGGGGAGATCTCTGTTCTGCCTGGGGAGCGGCCAACGCTCCAAATGGTGGTTCGGAGCTATTCTAAATGTACTGCTTTTACTTCGGATCTTTGATAGCGCGATTTAGGCTTCGATGTATTTTCGCTTTGGCGCGATACCAGTGCCGCCGTAATGGAATGCCTCGTTTCCAGTAAAAAGGGTCTCCGGTTCTCTACACTCATCATACGAAACACAGCAACATTAAGCTGCTATTTTACCCTGGTATTCTGTGAGAGCGTGGTTCTTCCCCGGTCGAGTTTAGTTTTATACATAAAAAAAAACTTTCCGATACGAGGCTTCCACTTGAGAACCTTATTTATGTAATAGCTGACAGTATATTGAGCATAATATACATAATACTTTATTTTTTGGAGGTAAATACAGTCGGGTATTTTTGCCTGATTTCTATTCTCTATATCTGACAATTATTAACACAAGAAGTAGGTAAATGGTTAAATATTCATTTTCCTGACCTTAATAATGTTCGGTTAAGATTAAGACAAAAGTGAAGGATGAAGGTAGTAGGTGTAATTATCGTTAACCATGTAACAAGGTAGAATTTTAAAATTTTTCTAGGTAACTTTGCAATTTTTTTCTAATTCTTTTACATACATACATGAGGTAGGTAGTATGCTATCCTAAAACCGTTCTATATATTTGTGAAGAATTGGAATTTAAAGAATTTAATTTGACATTTCTATAATAGTCGTCTCTTATGACATACACCGGGTGAATGAGAATATCCATGAGCCACCAGCGCGGTGTCACTTAAGGTGGAAGCTCCAAGGTGGCCCGCGAAATTCAATTTTTCCAGAAAAACTCATTCAAAGGGTAAATATGAACTTCCAGGGTTGTGATTTTAATGATAATAATTCTGTAAACACATAATCGCTACGGTCGCGAATCATATTAAATATACAACCTAACCCTGACCTGCAAATTCCAAAAAACGCAAGAAAATTTGAATTTCGCGGGCCACCCTGGAGCTTCCATGAGGTGTTTTAATATTTGACAGATTTCATAGCGGAGAAGTTAATTTGTTCGAATAATGAAAAATTTAACGTTTCTCTCTGTAGTTATATTTTTCATTAATTAGATTAAAAATAAATAAAACAAACCACATACATTCATAAAAAAATAATAGAAAAGAGAAAAAATGTGCAAAAATTTAAAGAGCAAACCTTTGAGGCATTGTTTTGTGTAGGTATTATACTAATATACTACTTAAGAAACTGATAAACTTTTATTCTAAACTAACTTCTCAATTAAATGACATTGTGTAACAAAAACTTCACCTCAGTGTCAACTAGCGACATCTGGTGAGCGGAACATTATTAGCCCTCATTAGGTGAGGAATTCTCTTATGTGAATTTTTTTTATAAGATAGGGTGACAAACGAGCACACAGTCCACCTGATGATAAGTGGTTGCTGTGGCCCATAGACATCTACATTTATCCTCGTTTGCGAATCAAAATGGAATGCCTCGTTTCCAGTAAAAAGGGTCTCCGGTTCTCTATACTTACCATACGAAACACAGCAGCATGAAGATGCTATTTGACAGTGGTATTCTGTGAGAGCGTGGTCCTTCCCCGGTCGAGCCGACCCATTCGTGCTACAGCTATACTACTAATATAGCTGCAGCATGGCTCTACCACGTCTAAAAAAAATGTGATATAAAATTGATATTAGATATTAGCTAACTGTTCCCTCGTATTGCGAAACCTTGCTCTATACCATTGAATAATAGAGAACTCTGAATGGTGTTATAAATTTTGCTCAATTTATTCATTAGTAGTCGACTAATCTATACAAATAAATAAAATTGAAGTGTCTGTTTGTAATATCAAAATAACAGCTTTTTACTAAACGCATATGAGAGTATACATATACGGTACATATAACAAAAACACGATTTTTAAAATTTTTGTGTGTCTGTCTCTTTGTTCCGGCTAATCTCCGAAACGGCTGGACCGATTTTGACGGGACTTTCACTGGCAGATAGCTAATATTATAAGGAGTAACTTAGGCTACTTTTATTTTAGAAAAATTATTAGGGTGCCGCGCAAAAAAATTAAAATCCATAAAATCTAATCGTAATAAATTCCACGCGGGCGAAGTCGCAGGGTACACACACAAAAATAACACATAAATGTACAAATAAACGCTAGTCACACATAAATGTTATTATCTAAAACTAACTTTATGAGTATTCCTATTTATTCAAGCAAAGATAATTAAACGCCTAGGGGGTAGGCAGAAACTACGTACTTCCATTTGGTACGATCCTGAGAAATCTCCCATCTTTCACATACATATATCTTATGCATACATGTTAATCGATTACATGACTCTTAATTTTATCTTCAATATTTCGGCTATTTGGTCGATAAACTTGCGTTTAGGGCACTCCATAGTCCGTACCGACACTGCCACTCACTTTCTCACTCACAATTATTCACTCACTCACAATTATTGTGTCACTCTTTCCTCTTTCATCTTTCTACGTGTCCAAACCACGAAAGCATTCCTTTCTTAATCCCGGTCACAACATCTACAAAGATTTTTTTCATTTAAATAATTTTATCTATATCTATACATACAAATAAATAAAATTGAAGTGTCTGTTTGTAATGTCGAAATAACAGCTTTTTACTAAATGCATATGAAAGTATATACGGTATTTATAACAAAAACACGATTTTTAAAATTTTTGGCAGTCTGTCTGTCTGTCTTTCTGTCTGTCTGCCTGTCTGTCTGTTTGTTCCGGCTAATCTCCGAAACGGCTGGACCGATTTTGACCGGACTTTCACTGGCAGACAGCTGATGGTATAAGAAGTAACTTAGACTACTTTTATTTTAGAAAAAAATTAGGGTTCCGCGCAAAAAACTAAAACCCATGAAATCCAATCGTAATATATTACGCGCGGGCGAAGTCGCGGGGATCAGCTAGTTCATAATAAAATTGCATTATTATCGCTAAGTATTATTAC